TATTATTATTATTATTATTATTATTATTATTATTATTATTGTTATTATCATTTCATTGTATTTATATTCATTTAAAGTTTTTATTAATAAATTTTTTTTTTTTTTTGTAAAAGTTTTTCGCTTCGGAGTGGAAAAAAAAACAAAACGTTTGACGACAAATTTTTTTTTTTTTAATAAAAAATGTATTTCGTTTGCCCCCCGCCCAATTCCCCTACCCTCTCCCCAAAAAATTATTATTATTAATATTTATCCGTTCGAAATAACGCCGTTAATTTTATTACTTTTACACTTTTAATTAATTAATTAACTTTATTTATTTATTAATAAAATAACAAACGATGACGTAAATTATTTAAATAAATAAATTTTTCATTCGTTGAATTATTTAACGTAAAAAAATTATAACGGAAGCATCTAATAATAATAATAATAATAATAATGATAAAACGAATAAGTTAAAAAAAAAAATTAAACGTGGAATTAGAATTTTTCCTTTTTTTTTTTTTTAAACTTTGTAAATAATTTTAATTAAACATTGTTTCAATTTGTTTTTTTTTTTTTTTAAATTGTTTAAATAATTTTTTAAAAAAAAAGAGAGAATTAAAAAAAAAAAAAAAAACGATCGAAACCGGAAGTAAATGAATGAATCGAAAAAAAAGAAAAAAATTTTTTTTTTTCAAACGATAAAATTTTCCTTTTAATGACAGGAATTACTTTTTTTTTAAAAAAAAAAAAAAAAAAAAAAAAAAAAAACTTTTAATTGTTTTTCCTTTTTTCCATTTTTTTTAATATTGTTTCCTTTGTTTGTTTATAAATAAAATAACGCACGCATGTAAAAACATAATTTTTTTTTTCATAGCCTAACGAAAAAGTAGAAAAAACGATGAATAATAATATTGATTTTATTTCTCCCCTCCCCTTCCCTCTTCCCCCCGCCCGGTATAAATTCTTCTTTCATCTTATTACGAGTGTGGATTTAATAAAATAAATATTATGCTCGTGTAAAAAGAATCAACTTTCTTTCAAATCCGATTATTTGTTTGTTTTATTGTTTGTATCATTTTCGAAAACGTTTGTAACGAATAATTTCGATTGATCGATATGTTATTATTATTTTTTTTTCGATTGTAAATTTAAGACTCCCCAAATTAATAACGATATAAAACAATCGCGACAAACACAAACGGTTTGTTTTACACAATTCAAAAAAAAAAAAAAAAGGAGAAAATTAACGCGAATTTCTTTTAAAAATTTACATTTTATACATTTTGGGGATGTGTGATAAATAAATAAATAAATAATAATAATAATAAATTTTTAATAAAAATTTTCCTGTGACGTCACACGAGATTATAAAAAATTCTCTCGATTCGTACAAAATCCGATTATTATTATTTTCTGCCTCTATAATAATATTTTCATAATCGTTAGCAAAAAAAAATTAATAATACGCGATAAATACGCACACGCACCCACGCATTAATAGAAAAACTTATGTAAATAAATTCCAGGTCATTTCATAAAATTTATTAACCGTAAATAAATAAATAAATAAATATTTTTTTTCGAATTCGTTCGTTCGTATTTGTAGTCGTTTGTATTTCCCCTCCCCCTCCCTCATTCCGTCCATTATCGTAAAAAAAAATTTATTATTATTATTATTATTGTTATTGATTTATTACCCTTTTTTTTAAAAAAAAAAAAAAAAAAAAACATTAATAAAAATTTCAATATGGCGAACAATATTCATTCATTTAAAAAAAAAAATTCGTAACGTATAATATTACTACCCCTCCCCCCCCGCCTACCCATCGTATTAAAGGGGTAAAAAAAATTTTTTTTCTTTTTCAATAATAAATTTCTCGTTAAAATTTGATAATAATAATAATAATAATAGAAGGGCGGGAAAGAGAAAATACAAAAAAAAAAAAAAAAAAAATTGAAAATGCGTGAAAATTTATAAAACATTCCTCTCATCATTTCATCACACTCTTTTTTCTTTTTTTCCCCTTTTTTTTTTTGATGTTTAAATATTATTATTATTATTATTATTATTATTATTATTATTATTATTATTATTAATATTTGAGAAAAGTTTTTTATTTTAAATTCGATTTATTTCTTTATAAAAAAAAAACTTTTTTTTTTTTTTTTTAAAGAAAAAGAATAGGAACAATCAACGGTACGTACGAAAATGTAAAAATAAAAGAACGTGTGTGTGTGTGTGTGTGTGTGTAAACTTTATAAAAACGTGTGAAAAAAAAACCTTTGATACTTTTCTTTTCCTTTGACATAAAAGAAAATCTTTTGAAAACAAAATAAACCAGGAAAATGTGACCGGAAAACTTTAATTCGAATTTTAAAACTTTGAGATTTTTTTTTTTTTTTTTTTTTTTTTTGCGGGTTTTTCCGGGTTTTTATGCCTTTTTCTTTTTCACCCGAATAAAAATTTTCCTCTCAACGAACAAAAATACTCAAAATAAATTTTCTTTTTTCTTTTTCTTTTTTTTTCAAGGTTTGCCAAATGATTTGAGCGTTTATTGGCAACAGTATCCATGGTTGTTTGGCAAGGGATTGTGCAAAGTTCGTGCATTAGTTTCCGAAATGTAAGTTTTAAATCATTTAATTATAATTTATCATCGCTCCCTTCCCCTCCCCTTTTCCCAACAATATTAACGTTAACAAAACCCAAAATCAAATTTCATCGTGGATAAAGATAATAATAATAATAATAATAATAATAATAATAATAATAATAAGCCAACGGCCATAGCGTGCTGGTCACACCGGTTCCCGTACGATCACCGAAGTTAAGCAGCATCGGGCGTGGTGCAAACTTGGATGGGTGACCGTCTGAGAACGCCACGTGCTGTTGGCTTAAAAGAGCAAAAAAAAAAAAAAATGAGAACAAGACAAAGTAAGAACCAAAAACAAATCTTGTTCTACTGTCGACCTGAGGCAGCTCGACGAGAACGTGAATTTCACTGCTTCTGACCCTGGCCACTCCAAAGATGTTAGTCACCGGAGCCCAGTTCAGGAGACAAATCGTTCCCATCGAAAAAGACGGACTCAGGAAGACCTTCAAGAATTGATGTGGTGCTATCTTATAATAAGTGGCACCACCGAAATTCGAGTATTTGTCCCTAAGGAATCGGGTAGAAACCTCGGATAAATACTTAAAAACTCCGACAAGTAGCCTTGTCGTGTTTAATGGTGGATAATAATAATAATAATAATAATAATAATAATAATAATAATAATGACTGATACTCTTGAAACGATTTCTACCAAATTACAAAACGTCACATTCAATTTAAATTTAATTACAATTTTCAAATTAAATTTTTTTTCGCGTTTTTTTTTTTTTGAGGTAAAAATACGGAAATGCGAAATAATAATAATAATAATAAAAATAATAATAGTAATAATAATAATAATAATAACTTATTAAATTATACTTAATTAATTAAAATTACGCGGAGAAGTTATTAATTATAACAATTCGATTCGTTTTCGTAATTTTCCCACAGAAAAAAAATTTCTTTCCCCCCCCCCCTTTTTACGTTTAATGAATGAAAAATAATAATAATAATAATAATATATTTACGTCACGCATTTTAATAACTTTAATAATATCATTCATAACACGATGAAAATAAATTAAAACTACGATTCAATAAATTAAATTTAAAAAAAAAAAAAAAATGGCGATTTAATCGAGCGAAACGTTTTCGTTTTTATTTATTTATTATTTATTTATTAAATTCGAGTAAAAAATAAAAAATTAATAAATAAATTTATTAATTACGTGATACTCCGTAATAATAAATATTTAAAAAAATTTTTTTTTATTAAATTTTTATTATTTCAAAAGGAAAATTTTCAGAAAAAACAAAAAAAACTGGAAAATTTTATTAAAAAATAAAAAAAAATTATTTCGTCGCTCGGTTATCATCATCATCATCATCATAATAATAATAATTATTATTATTATTATTATTATTACGAAAAAATAAAAAGAATGAATGAAAAGTGCTTCACGTAAAAAAAAAATGAATGAATTAATAATCGATCGATTGTTTGATTAACCGTACGAACAAAAGAGTGAATGAATGAATGAATGAATGAATGTAATAAATTTTTTTTTTAATATTCGAAAACGTTTCGAATTTGAATTCGAAAAAAAATTCCTCTTCTCTTATCAATAACGATAACGTAAAATAAAACTTTGAATTGTTTAATTAAAAAAAAAAAAAAAAAAAAGAAAAAAATGCTGGAAAGTTTTTCCTTTTTTCCCCCCTTTTTTTTCCAGGATTTTTTAACGAAACGAACGTAAAAGAAACGAATTACGTAATTATTTAAAATACGTTCGAACGCCTTTTATAGTAAAAATTAAATTTCCAACGTTTTTCCCGTTAATATTATTATTATTTTTTTTTTTGTTTTGTTTAAAAAGGGTTTCGTACACTTCCGTTTTAACAATCGTGGCATTTTCAATGGAACGCTACCTGGCTATATGTCATCCCCTGCATCATTATGCCATGTCAGGTTTAAAAAGAGCCGTGAAAATAATTGGAATATTATGGATCGTTTCACTAGTGGGTGCGACACCGTTTGCAGTTTATACAACCGTTAATTATTTGGATTATCCTCCAGGTACGAGAGACAAAAAAAAAAAATAAATATTTTTAATTACCTTTTAATTGCCGTTAATTAAGTGACGTGAAAATCTCCGATTTTTCCTCAAACAACAATCGTTTCCAAATTTAAAAATTGCTTATATTCAGGTTTTTTTTTTTTTTTTTCAATAATCCTTAAAACTTTTTTCTTTTTCTTGGATATTTTCCTTAAATTTTTATCATTATTATTATTATTTTTAAGCAAATTATAAAATTAAAAAAATAGGAAAAATTTATTTACCTCTACTTATCGATTACTTCAGTTTTTATATGTAACAAAAATTTTTCTTTTCTTCTTCTTTCCAGGCTCGGGTCAAAAAGTTTTAGAATCGGGATTTTGTGCCATGTTATCAACAAACATTCCCTCGAATTGGCCAATCTATGAAATATCAAGTTTTTTATTTTTTCTTTTACCAATGTTGGTAATATTAATTTTGTATATAAGAATGGGTATCGCCATTAGAGAAAGCGGAGCCGATGATTCAATGAAAAGACTTCAAGGTTTGGTACATAAACCGAGGCATTCAAATTCTAGAAAATCTATAATTAGAATGTTGGGTAAATTTTATTATTATTATTATCATTTACAACAACAACATCATTTTTTTTTTTTTGCCCGCCGTAATTATTGTTGTATTTATTATTTTACATTGAATTTTTATACGTCGTCATTTTTATTTAAAGTTACACACACGCACTCCAAAAATTTAAATGAACAAACATAAATTTTTAATTAATTTCTCTATACTTGTTCGTTTGTTTGTTTGTTCTTTTTTACAGCTGCTGTCGTTATTACATTTTTTCTATGTTGGGCACCCTTTCACGCTCAACGATTACTTTATCTTTACGCCAACGACTTTCCAAATTTCCCAGAAATTAACGAATGGATGTATTACATAGCTGGAATTTTCTACTACGTTTCATCAACGGTCAATCCCATTTTATACAACGTCATGTCTGCCAAATACAGATTCGCTTTCAAGAAAACTCTTTTCGGTTTTCTGTCTCAGAAAAAATTCTCGCTGTCGTCCTCGTCGTCGTCTCAACGCACGAAACATTTCAAAAACTTAAATCGTGCGAAAAATTATTCTTTTGTTTGTTTTCAACGTAATAATAAAAATTACAATTGCTCATCGACGAATCGTAACGCGAGTGAAAAAATACGGAAATCTGTCGACGGTTACGACGGATCCACCACCACCAACAACAACAACAACAGGAGAACCCCCGACCCGCGTAATTTTTCCGATTCGGAAAATTTAAAATTAATCAAGAATAAATCGGCAAACGGTAGTGACGTCAAAACCAGTTGCGACATCGTCGTCACGACCAAAAAAATATACAAAACGTAATGATGGCGGTTGTCACCAACGACAACAATCACTTGCGTGACTCTCTGCAACCACCCTTGACGCACTTCATCATCTTCTTCTTCTAATAATCGCGAATCTCCCCACTTTATCCTTTATCACCACATCCCATTCCCTCTTTCCTACCCCAATAATAATATTAAAAATATAAATTTTTGGCGGGCAAATAAAATTATTATTATCATTTTTAAATTGATATGTCGTCATTTTTATTATATTTTTTCACAATTGACTTTCGAAAAAATTTTAATTTTTTTTTTTCCACGTTCGTGACACGTTTGTGACACATTTTTGTGACATTTATCCAAGAATTTATTTTTTTTACTTACATATATCTAGCAAAAAAAAAAAATAATAATAATAATAATAATTTCAAGGTAAATAACATTCACACAAACAAAAAAAAAAAAATTTTTTCAGTTCGTTTCTCGCCACCCTTAAAAATAATAATAATAATAAAAAATTAATACTAAGAGTGTGCCACAGTTTCGTTTCACAATTGACGCCATCTTATAAAAAATTTATAAAGTAGTTCAATTACGTGCACGAAAAAACCACACGAACGCACCCGTGTGCGTGTGTGCGTGCGCGTGTGCGTTTACACATATCAAAACTCTCGCACGTAGGCATTACGGATAAGGTATGCACGTGCGAATAAAATCCTTTTCTCCCACCCCCCGCGTTTTTCATTTTTTCACTTTTTTCTCGTTCCTTTTGGTTTAAAAGAAAATTTTGAGCGCCGATAAACAGGCGAGAATAAAAAATGCGGACGACGTAAAATTATAACTGATTGATGATCCCGAGGGAGAGGATAATTCTGTCGGTTCCTCGACAAATTTGTACGAAGCGCAAGGCGTTGCTCTTTTAATGAACGTGAAAAGGGAATCTATTATGTTTGCCGGAGTCGGTTCTTTGCAACTCTCCAATTTTCCTACCACGCATTTTTGAAACTTGTGAAAACTCCTTTGAAAAAAAAAAAAAGAAAAAGAAAAAAAAATGATAATGATAATGATAATAATAATAATAATAAAGCAAAAAAGTAATTTAATATCGCAAACTTTTTTTTTTTTTTTCCTTTTTTAAATTTTCCTTTCTACAAAACAGGAGAGAGTGAGAGAGAGAGAGAGAGAAAAAAATTTTCTCTTTCTTGACACTCTATCTGTCCCTTTCTCTTTCTCCGTATAATAAAAAAAAAAAAATAATAATAATAATAATAAAAATAAAACTCACTCGCATTGTTCGGTTTGGAAAAGAAGAAGAGGAATGTCGGATGTCAAATCGCTCAATGAAACGTTTTCCGTTTTGGGTAATTTTTTTTTGTAAACCGTTTGAACGCATTCTCCGATGGATTCTTTGGACGATTCCAAACATTCTGGACCACCTTCGGCAATGAACACTGCGGGAGAAAAAAGAAAAAAAATATATAATAATAATAATAATAATAATAATAATAAGGAAAGTTTTTACCATACGTTATCAAATCTCGAACCGATTCGAATTCCCGAAAAAAAAAAATTCTTATTTATACGAATCGATCCAGAGAGAGAGGGAAGGAGAGAGAGAGGGAGAGAGAGAGAGAGAGAAAACGCCTAATTTATTTATCATAAAGCCGATTAAATCCGTTTTGAAAGGCCGTAAGAGTCTTTTTTAGGAAGAACCAATGAAACATCTAAAGAATAATTTCGTTCCGTAAGGAAAAAGGAAAATGATTCATTTTCAAAAATTAATCATTTTCCTTTTTCCAAGTATTTTCAACTTCGTCGACGACGACAACGACGACGACGAGGACGACGAATTTGTTTAAATATATATATATAATTATTACGTTTTATTACTCATATTGGTTTTGTTTTTCTCTCTTTTAATTTTCCTTCTGTTGCATTGATTTGCCCCCTTTCCCCTCCTCCCCCTTCCTTTCTCGGAGCCTTCACACTCCAGTGCGAGCTAAACAAAATGATAGTTTAATTCGAAAATCAAATTATGGACTTGGTCAAATCTCTCTCTTTCTCTCTTTTTGTGAAATTTTACATTTGCAATCGACGGTTAACGGAATGGAAAATGTTTAACGAGATTTCAAAGTTCGCACAAAAGAATTGAATTAACAAAGAACTAATTATAATTTCAGTTTAGAAATTATAATCCACCAAATGAAAAGCGAATTTGAAAAAGTTCGGACTTGATTTAAAATTTTCCGAATTTTCCCTGCAGTTTTCCCAACAACCCGATGGAAAATTTCGAAATTTCTTTTTTTTTTTTTTTTTTTTTTTTTTTACAGAAACTACTGTTTCTCAAATTTTCGACGATTTTCCTTTAAAAAAAAAAAAAAATGGACGACTTTTGCCAGGCGGGAAAATCCCGAGATCTCACCCACTCTTCCACCCCCCATCTCCCCGAATAAATAATAATAATAATAATGTATTGATCATCTTACAAGCAATTCTGTCGCCTTCCTTGTAGCAAATAAATTCGGCCAATTGCTCTGTCACGTTCATAATCGTTGCGACGCTACTTTTTTCGTCCTTTTCCAAACATGGTTGAAACGCTTCCGTAAAATTCGAAACGCAATTTTTAAAATCGGGAGATTTCCTGGAAAAATAATAAAAAAAAAAAAAGGGGGGGAAAAAATATTAATATTTATAAACCAAGCGGGGATAATTTTTAATAATAAATTCGAGAAATTTTTTTTTTTAATAACAAAAAAAAAAAAAAAATTAATCGTGACGACGGGGAGGAAAAAAAAAAAAATAAAAAAATCTCAAAATGGCCTTTGACAGTTCAAGGATTTTATTTCTCACGTAACACGATGCCACTTTTCATCATCATCATCATCATTATTTTTACTTTAAGCTTTTCCAAGAGACATTTTATAAGTTAAAATTAAAAAAAAAAAAAAAAAATTGTTTTTAAAAAGAATTTTTTTTTTTTTTGTTTTTTCTTTTTTCTTTTCCAATTACTACTTGTTTAACTGAGATTTCGAAAAGAGTGAAAAAAAAATTCAACTTTTCGCATTTCTTTTTTAATTTACGTTTTTCGATAGAATAGATCGACGTGAAAAATTTATTAAAGTTCGAATGGAATTTAGATAAAGTTATTAATAAAGTTATCCGAAAAGAAAAAGGGAAAATAAATATCCTTCGAAAAAAAATAAAAGAAGAAGAAGAAGAAGAAAGAAATAAGTGGTTAATTCATCAACTTTCTTCTTTTCGGTTTTTAATCTTATTTATTATTTTTCCGGTTAAATTTTCCAAACAATAAAACTTTTTTTTTTTTTTTTTAAATAAAAGTTAAAAATTCAAATTTATTTCTTTCGAATAATGTAAAAAGTAACGAAGTAAAAGAAGGGAAGAAAAAAAGGAAGAAGGAAACAAAAAGAAAAAACTTTAAATTTTCTTTTTCGTTCTAATCGTTCTAATCACAAAATGGCGAGAAAATCATGAGGAAATAAAGAAAAAAAAAAAAAATTTTTATTTGAAATGTAATAAATTCATCGAAACGTACGCAGGAAATGAACCCCAGAACGCACACGCACACGCGCACACAAAAACAAACAGGAAAAAGCAGAAAAAAAAGCTGATATTGCCAGGATGTGGTAAGAGAAAGTAAAAACAAGGGAATGATTCCGGTCATCGTGGGAGAGCACATAGAGGAAGCCACGTCACAATTGCTGTAGGGTTTTTTAAAATACTTGAAACAAAAAAAAAAAAAAAAAAAAAATTGTACGCTGTTTCAGAGCAAAAGCAGACGACAACCATCATTCGTTTTCGAAAGATACAAAATAAATAATAGCAAACGTGATGATGGTGATGATGATGATAAAATTTTTGTTTCGACTCGACATTCTCTCATTCTTAATCGTTTTAGTAGTCAAGAAAAAGGCAGGATGTTGATTTTGCGCACCCCGTACCCGTAATTTTAATAGTAGCATTAGTTTGTGCATCCATGTGCATGACTTAACGGTTCGCATAACAACGATAATAATAATAATAATAATAATGTGCAACAATACAAACAAACGTTAATTAATCGTATTCGTCGTATTTAAAATTAAGATTTTAATTAACCTCACGTCAAGCTTTTCGATCAAACTTTTGACGACTTTTGACATCGTGACGACGTGAAAGTAAAAACATTATATATGTTGATCGTCATCATCATCATCGTAGTCACGCAATCGGTAACTTTAAACCTTTGCAAAATAACAATAATAATGATAACTTACTTGCAGTATTTTTTAAATATGGAATCGAGATCTCCGGTCGGTTTCGCCTTTTCCATTTCTTCTTGAAGTTGATTAAAATCTACGAGACCTTTAATGCATTCCACGGCTTCCGTTTTGGCTTCCTAATAAAAAAAATATTATTATTAAAAAAATCAAAGATCGGAAAATGTCGGGAGGAGAAAAAAAATGGAGAAAAAGTTCGTCAGCACCTCATGCAAAAAAGATGAAAAATAAAAAAATTTTTTTCTTTATAGGTCGCTCGAAGTTAAATTTTCGGTCGGAAAAAATGAATTGAAAAAAATGAACCGTTAACGTTATTATAAAAAATAAATAAATTTCAATTTCACGATTTGCCAAAATGGAAAAAGGAAAATTTTTTTTTCCCTTCCTTCCTTCCTTCCTTCCACTTTTTCACGTACCCCAATAAAATCCACACAATGATTACAAACTGTCGCGTTTGTTATTAATTTGTTTTATTTCGAGTTAGTTATTTAATTTGTTTTTTTTTTTTTTATTGATTAATAATTTATTATTAATAATTCAAAATTTCATTTATTTTGGTGACAAATTCATTCAAATCCTGTTTGAAATAGTTTTTTTTAAAAGCTGCCTTAATCGATTTCTTAATGTCTTCATCATCATTTCAACATTAAATTTTATTTTTATTTAATTTTTTTTTTTCGATCGACGATCGAGGAAAAGAGTCGTTCATAAGAACATTAAGAATTCGATGAATTGATAATAAGGACGGCCATTAAATGAAAAGAAGGCCGTTAAAACAAAAGTGAAATTCATCATTTGAATCCACCAATACACACGCATATATAAAATATTCGTACGCAGTTATATGTGTGTATAAAAGTGCGTATACGTGCGTTTTGTGTTTTTTTTGACCGAGTTGTCATTACCGTAAATATTTACGCAAACAAAAAAAAAAAAACCTTCGTGTAAAATCAACGTTTTCCGAATGGGGGGGGGGGGAAAACAAGGCCTCGCAGGAAAATTTTGTAAACTAAATAAAAAAATCTTTAGAAAATTTGTTTTTTAATGATACTCTCTCGAGTCGAATAAAAAAAACGTGTAAACAAACAAAAATTTTGTCTGTCTGTTCTGCTGTCCAGATGTTATACAATTTATTTCATCTTCTCCCCAAAACGTTTCTTTTTTTTTTTTTTTTTCGACACAAAAAACCAAACGAAATGAAATAAAAGAATAATAATAATTTTAAAGTTTCTCATGATGTCTGTAGTATTCACTCTCAATTTGAGGGGAGTGACAAAGACAAACAAAACAAATGTCGGTCGTTTTTACCAAGGGTAAAATGTGATGATCCCGCATCCTACAACTGAACCTTTGAAATTTTTAAATTGAAAGAAATATAAATATAAAAAAAAAAAAAAAAAAAAAAAAACGTGAGTGTGTGTTTTCTCTCATCTTAATAATCCCTTCAACGATTCAAATCCTCCTCCTCCCTGACCTACGAAAACTACAAAATTCTCATGTCATAAATCTATCATTTAAATAACCTCATTGTCATCCATGTTATTTTTCGCTGGCCGGAAAATTCGGTTCGGGCAACAAAAAACAAACTTAATAATTAACAAAGAAAGCGATAAAAGTCCTCGCCTTTAATTAATTAATTAATTAATTAATTATTGCTTTTAATAATTTTATTATTTTTTGGAAAAAGTTTTATAAATTCGACTCATCTCGCTTCGAAATCAATATTTAAACGTGAAATAAATTTGTCTCTCTTTCCTTTCTTCACGGTGAAGACAATAAGAGAGAAAGAGATATAGAGAAAAGGTGGGACGGGGGGCGGGGGAAACAACAAAACGAATGAAACTTTTGTTGAAAATTATTCTCAGAGTTCCCACATAACCTAATTAAAAAAAAAAAAAAAAAAAAAAAAAAAAAATAAATAAATAAATAACCCGCGTCTCGTACACGAATCGCACTAAACGAAATGAAATCATTTCATTAATCTTCGTAGTAAATAAAATAAATAAATAAAATAAATAAATAAAAAAATTAGTTTTGGGTTAAGGACGATTTTATTATCATAATTATTATACTACACGCAAACTTTTATCACTGATGAAATACATATTTTAAAAAAACTATTTCTTTCCCCCTCTCCCTCTCCCTAAGATAGGAAATTCTCGGACATAGTCGAAAAATTTTAACAAACTGTTAAAAAGGGTTGTAACCTTTCACCCTCCCCCTTCCCTCCCTTTTCTTTTTTAAATCGGAAAAATAATTACGCGAGATATTTTTTTTTTATAAAATCGAAACGACGAAATCCCTTTTATCGCGGAGTTTTAAACAAAATAATAACCCAAAAAAAAAAAAAACAATTTTTATTTTTTTTTAATACGTTTAAAGTAAAATAATCGATTTTCATTCGTCCGGAAAAATGAATTTTTACGTAATAATTCAATCACAAAGAAAAAGTAATTATTCTGTTTATTAAAAAAAAACGCGGATTAAGCAAAAACGAAAAAATAAATAAATATTAATAATAACTTATTTTATTTTAAGCCTGCAACACAAATGGCACCTAGCAGGAAAGCAACTTGTGCAAATAATAAAATATTTTTCCTTTATTTATTTTTTATTTTTTATTTATTTTTCTTTTGTAACTGACGTTCTCGGTTGTTAAAAAAAAAAAAAAAAACAGACAAACAAATGAAATAATTTATTAATCCAAAGTATAATTATCTCCTTATACGCGGCGTAAAGTCGTAAAAAAAAAAAAAAAAAAAAAAAAAAAACGACAAACGTTTCGTATTTGTTTAGATTCGAATCGGGAAAATAAAAAAACTATTATAATAAATCAAAGAATAATAATAATAATAATAATAAAACGAATCTCGTGTGACTAATAATAATAATAATAAAGGTGAAAATGTTTTATCGTCTCCTCTTTTCATCATCCCCATTAAATTACCTAAACTTTTTATTTATTCGATTATCGAATTAAATTTGCGCTTGTGTACGCGCGTGACGACGACGACGACATTAAACTAATGATAATAATATTTATTCCTAAGGAACAGAAACCTGGAAAGAACGTACCTCTGACAGGTACAATAGTAAAATATCGCGTTTAAAAGTGAAATGATAATAATAATGTTCTAATAACGCGCGTTAAAAAAAAAATGGAACGAATGCCTCCACGAATTATTAAGAATCATCGAAAGTGAATAATAAAAATAAATCGATATTAAAATATCGTGTAAATAGAAGAATTATCGATGCATAATTAAAATGATGTTATTGTGTCGTTCGTTTTCAACAACAACGCTCTTATTAAAAGAATTACTATTATTATTATTATTATTATTTTCCTCCTTTTCTTCTTCTTCTTCTCCTGGCAAGGTTCGTTCTTTTTCCTTGCACAGGTTTTTATATTTTATATATTTTTCAAGTTCTTTTCAAGGATGCATAATTACATTAATTAAGATTTTATCAATTTTCAACATGTAAACGTATAAACATAAAAATCATATTTGTTACTAAAGTCCGGACGGTATAAGACTTGAACAATAATATTGATGATTTTTTTTTTTTTAATGATTTCGTGTCACTAACTTGTTCGCGAGACTTGGAATTTTTCCTTTTACCTAATGAGAATCCATGGAAAATTTTCCTAGTATTTATAAATGCCATTTTTTTTTTTTTTTTTTGTTAATAAAAAAATTAAAAAAAAAAAAAAAAATCCTCATCTGCGTGCGACACCTTGACACAAGTCGTAAACGTTATTGTCGCCATCTTGTTGTTGAGGTCAAGGTACTTGAAAATTTATTTATTTTTATATAAATTTAAATAAAATGTGTTTGCGAAAAAAAGACAAAAGTTTCATGTTGTTTCCGGATATAGAGACAAAAACGTATATTTTTACACGTGTGTGCGTGTGCGTGTGTGTATACGTGCAATGACGAGGAAGTTTAAAGTTTCAAACAAAAAAAATACTCACGGATATTTTTTTACTCGCATCTGGCCCCCAATGTTTTTCGCATTTTTTGACAAATACTTCCTCTATTTCACCTTCGGACGGAATTTTCGACGTTATGTTACCGGGTAAATCACTTATGCCGGCTATGTTTAAATTTTGTAAACTTTCTTCTATGTTTGCGACGGTTAATTGCAAGAAAACACCTGGAAACACAAGTAAAAATAAATAAAACAAACCGTGTCAATTATTTTAGTTTATTAATCTGATTTATAAAATCAGATTTATTTATTATAATTAATTATGTTTTGAAAAAACGACTAACGATTAACTGTCTCAGCAGCAACTTCGCTCCACAACAGCGAAAAAAAAAAAAAAAAAACACCGCTGTCAAAGAAGCGGAAACAATTTGGAAATACAAGTAGAGTTGATAACAAAGTGTGGGAGTAAATACAGTAAATAATCCCAATCCCCGTGGGAGAACATGGGGAACCGTATCACAAACGATAAAAGGTAATAGGAAGAAGAAAATTTATAAAAGAAGGATTTGAATGACAAACATCTCATCTTTTTGTGGCGTAGAGTTTTGCATAAAAAAAAAAAATTGTATTGAAAACCGGAATAGATCCAGGAAAAACTTTGACAAGACTTGTCACGTGAATAATAATAATAATAACAACAACAATAACTTAAGAATATGACTAACAACTTAAAGTTTTGTTTTATAATATTAGTCATAGTGAAAAAAAAATCATTGAAGTAGAAATTTCATACTTATTTAAGAAAGGAAAAAAATTATCTATATTAGTCATTTAAATATTTGGCTCAGGGTGAATGAAACCAATGTAAATATTTAAGACCTAGTAAAAATTAAAACTATTAAAATTAGTTTATAATTACTTTATATAAAAAAAAAAAAAAAGGCATTTGTGATTAATTTTCTCCATACCTAAATAATTATATTGTTTTTTTTTATTATATAACAATTAATTTTTATATAAAATTATAAAAGTGCATGTAAAACTTATGGATTTTTTATTCGAATGTTTTATGAAGCATGCAAACCTCGAGATATTTATATTGAATTAAACAAAAAAAAAAAAAAAAAAGAAAATTGAAATTGAAGATTACAATTAAACCAAACAAATAAATACAAATAATTTTAAATACAATTATCATATAAAAGAGAATGAATAAACAGTCGAATGTAATAAACTAAAATTTTGCATTGTGTAAAATGACATTATTTCAAATCGAAAGCAGCATAATAAATCTTTATCTTAACAATATCATTCGATGTGAAATTACAAAACAAATCTGTACACATAAATATTTAATTTGTATTGTAAATTTGGAAAAAAACAGCAATAAAATAACATATTAAAAAACAATTATGTCATAGTAATAACTAAATTACAAACAATTTAAGGCAAATGACTCATTAATTCTTTACCAACATTTTCTTATCTTGGTCAAGATTCAACTTTGATATTAGTACATACCCTTAAAGAGCAAGAATTAAATAGATAAATGATCGAGGGGTCAAACTTCAAATTTCAAAAAATTAAAATATGTATGTGTTAATTTCAATGCATCAATGTAATGTCAATGTGTCATTATATGTAATGTTCATAATTTATCACACACTTGCAATAATAATTAATAGATTCTTATGAAAAATTTTTAATTTTCAAACGGAAAAGACATGCATATATATGCATATACATATAAGTTGTTTTCATGATCAAAATGCTTTTATATTTCATACAATTTTAAATATGTAAAATATCATTAAACTAAAAAAAAAAATATTATTTTTAAATAAATTGTCAACTGAAAGTGACATTGCGCGTTTGAATACTTATAGGTTAAGACATCATTTTTCTTTTTTAAAGTAAATTACAAAATAATTCAAATACTTACCAATAAAAATTAAACTAAAGTATTTGAACATCATCTCGTTTGTTAGTATAAAGAAACCACAAATTTATAATTATATGTATTTAAAGAAAAAATAAAAAATTGATTAATTAAAAGCGTAAAACGTTTAACTGTGTATTAAAGAAAAATGAAATAAAAATGACAAAAATTATTACTACTACTTCAGCACATTTATCTGTCCACTATAATTTAATCCACGAGCAAACAAGACTGGTTTAAAACGTTGAGTCGTTCAAATCCAAACGCTTAGCGGAAGTTTCAAAGTTCAATTTCACTGCCTTCTTGAATTGTTTGATCTCCAAAATTAGCGGAATTATTTAGCGGAATAAAACTGCCGTTAAATTCAAATTCAGAACAAATGAATTAATTTAATCTGTGAAAAAATTGAATATCAAAGGAATTTTTTGGTAAGATTAAAAAAATTTTTATATGACTTATCAAAATTTATTAGGTTACTATTTTAATTATTGACAAATAATTACACATCAAATTTACATAATAGTAAAAATATTTACAGATTTACGTTACATAACTGAAAATAATAGTTTTTTTTTTTTGGACTATTTATTAATTTGTAAAAAGGAAGTTACAATTAATTAGATGAAATTCTCTTACATCCATTTTTAGAGGTCCCTCTAGACCTTGAAACAGTCTGTGATAAATCACTGTTTGTCAATGTTGAACTTCTTACAGGAATTCTGACAGTATTCCTAGGCAAAGAAATTTCATTATTTTGATTAAATTGTGAAAAATAAGTAGATGAGTTTCTGTCTGAATAATTTGTACTAGGTTGAGAAAGAAGTCTAGAAGAGGATTGAGAATTAATTTCTAATGAACTGTCTAATAGGTCATTAGAAACTGTATTGATGTTTTCACTTGAAACAACATTTGATCTATTAGTATTGTTTGTATTTGTACTATTCACTGGCCCAAGGCTATTCACATTTCTAAATAAATTTTCAAAATCATTTGAGAGCTCTAAATTAAGCGCTTCTATTTGTTCTATTGTCCAATCTAAAGTGTCATGGATGACATTATCGAGTTCAATATTTCTAGGAGACACTAAATCACTACTACTAGAAGACTGTAAATTTGAGCTTAACACAGATGGAGCATTACATGTACTATCAGTCAGGACCAAAGATGTAGGTCTATTAATTCTTATGCTATCACTTTGATGAGATGATTCAAGATTTTGTTGAGAACTTAATGAAGGTGAATTTGTCGGAATTGAACGATTGGTGTCATGCAAGTGGTTTTGAACGGGTCTGCTGGAAATGTGCAAACTTTGCAAATCCGGGATTAATACATTAGACACTAGATCAGGAGTACTAGTTGAATTTAATTGACTGTCTTTTGAAGTTTTAAGGCCAGCAACTCCTTTAGATGTAGTTGTGGCAAGATCCCTTTTAATCCTTCTCCGTCTACAAGGATCATTCCGTCGATATTGCAACATACTGTCAAAGTCAGCTATGTATAAAAATCCTGCTATAAGCAATTCACAACATCTCTCTCCTTTTTGATAAGCTAGTTCTAATTCTAAACTTGTTCTTTCATCATACTGCCACCAACCTGAATCAAATAAAAATAAATTACTGAATTACAACCCTAAAATTTTCTTTCTTTTGTTATATAGGTCATAAATTTTGACCTATTAAACTTTAATGTTTTTAATATTATCCTACCGTTATGTCCTTCGTAAAACCACAAATGCCCATCTTCAAAACCTTTACTGGAATATTCAGTATCAACTGGCTTTAATAGTTTTGGCTTATCTAAATAATCATTAGGAATATCTTGTCTACACATGGCACAACGCCTTCCTTGATTTACAATTCCCTTAATGCATAAGTAACAAAATATATGTCCACAAGGCAGTTCAGCTGGATGTACGCTGGTTTGTAAACAAACAGCACATTCAACAATAGAAGAAATTTCATTTTTAACTTTATTCATAATTGACCGTGAAGTTCTTTCTTTTACAGATTCCGCCATCTTGAATAAAACAGTCATAGAAGTAGATTTGTTTAAATAAATTTATAATTTTTGTTTTTTTTTTTCAAATTTTTCTATCTAAATGATTTTTTAATTATTTTAAAATAATATGAAATATAATATTTATTCATTCTTATAAATGTAATATTTAAAAATTGAAGAAAAAAAGAAGGCATTGTTTGAATCAGTAGATTTGTTGACTTCTATGATATAATGTTAGTAAATAGTGAGGAGTGTTTCGTAATGCTTATTAGTTTAATAAATTTTTTTTAAAAATGAAAATTTTTTAGCATTTTTATTGTACGGCATGATAAATATCATTGTGTGATATTTATTAAGTGTTTAAATATATACAAAAAATATGAAAGAGGAAAATATTTTAAAGTGAAATTTGACATTTATATGATTAAATGAGTGTGATATTCTTTGATTTTACTAAAACGATATTAAAAAGAGTAATGTGCAAAAAATTTATTTTTTAAATTTTATTTAAATACGTGTATTAAATAACCGTAAAGTTAAAAATAAAATATGGCAACAGAAAGAGTAACTTTGAGTGATGCCTTATCAAACGTTGATGTACTCGATGAATTAACTTTGCCCGATGAACAGCCCTGCATTGAAGCTCAACCTTGTTCTGTTGTTTATCAGGCAAATTTTGATACAAATTTTGAAGACCGCAATGGTTTTGTCACCGGTATTGCTAAATACATTGAAGAAGCCACTATTCATTCCAGTTTGGTGAGTTTGTGTGTTTTTTTTTTTTTTTGTAGTTCTAGATTAAATAATTATTTCAAATCATTTTTATTAAAAATTCTTTTTTTTTTTTTAAGAATGAGTTGCTGGATGAAGGTTTAGAACATGCTGTAATGTTATACACATGGAGATGTTGCTCTCGAGCAATTCCTCAGCCAAAATCTAATGAACAACCTAATCGAGCAGAAATTTATGAAAAAACAGTCGAAGTTCTCGCTCCTGAAGTTAATAAACTTTTAAATTTTATGTATTTTCAGGTAATTTTTTATAGTATTTTTTTTTTGGTTTAATAATAACTGTGTAAATGCATCACAATTGTAATGTTTAAGTTTTGTTTTTTTTTTTCATTAGAGAAAAGCAATAGAAAGATTTTCTGCAGAGGTTAAAAGATTATGTCATCAAGAAAAGAGAAAAGATTTTGTTTCAGAAGCATATTTACTGACTCTTGGAAAATTCATTAATATGTTTGCAGTTTTGGATGAACTTAAAAATATGAAGTCAAGTGTCAAAAATGATTACTCTACTTATAGGAGGTAATATTGTAATTTCATAATTTAAAAAAAAAAAATTTTTTTCCATTTTATTTAAAATTAAATTTTTAATAAATTTTTTATTTTTTTTTTCTTCAGAGCTGCTCAATTTTTAAAAGTAATGGCCGATTCTCAGACTCTTCAAGAGTCTCAAAATTTATCCATGTTTTTAGCAACACAAAACAAAATAAGAGATACTGTTAAAGAAAATTTGGAAAAAATTTCTGGTTATGAAGAACTGTTGACTGATGTTGTGAATCTTTGCGTTCACATGTTAGAAAATAAGTTGTATTTAGCTCCGAGTGAAAAGCATATGCTTGTAAAAGTTATGGGATTTAGTTTGTTTTTAATGGATACTGATTTATGTAACATAAATAAACTGGATACTAAAAAAAAATTAAAACTAGAAAAAATCGATAGAATTTTTAAGGTAAGTTTTATGTTTTCTTACTTGTGAAAAAGATTTTTAAAAGATTTAAATTTTGAATCATCATGAAAATTTTTTCGTTCAGAATCTTGAAGTTGTTCCATTATTTGGAGACATGCAAATAGCTCCTTTTAATTACATAAAAAGATCAAAACATTTCGATCCGAGTAAGTGGCCACTATCAAGTTCGAACACCATAAGTCCTCAAGCTGATTTAATGGTTCATTTGCCACAAATAAGAGAAGATCATGTGAAATATATTAGTGAATTAGCTAGATACAGTAACGAGGTAAAGTTGTCGAGTCATTTTATGTGAAAACATAAATTTTTTAATTTAAATTTAAAATTTATGTAAAAATTTCTAGGAAACAACAACGTATAAAAGTGTTAAAACCGATCAGGAAATCAAAGATACTTCTGATTTGGCCCTTCGCGGTTTACAACTACTGTCTGAGTGGAGCAGCGTAGTGACAGAACTGTATTCGTGGAAATTATTACATCCAACGGACCACCATCAAAATAAGGATTGTCCTCCCGAAGCTGAAGAATATGAGAGAGTAAGATTATTTAGATTTCGAACTGAAAAAAAAAAAAATTGTATTTTAAAAACGTAGTAAAAAAAAAAAATTTATTTTAATTAGGCAACGAGATATAATTACACGGATGAAGAAAAATTTGCGTTAATTGAAGTCATCGCCATGATTAAAGGATTACAAGTTTTAATGTCACGAATGGAAACTGTATTCACGGACGCCATTAAAAAAAATATTTTCAGTCAATTACAAGATTTTGTTCAGCGCGATTTGAGAGAACCTCTAAGAAAAGCAATAAAAAACAAAAAGGATCTAATAAGAAGGTTTTTATATTGCTTTTGACAATTTATTTTGGCGATTTTTATTTTTTGAGTTTAACAAATAAAATTTTTTTTTAGCATACTTGTATCGGTACGAGAAACTTGCGCAGATTGGCAGGGTGGAATGGAACCACAAGATGATCCGGCTTTGAAAGGGAAAAAAGATCAAGATAATGGATTTAAACTAAAAGTTCCTAGACGAACCGTCGGTTAGTCATTAATTTAATTAAATATTATTTATTTAATAAATTTTAAACTTATTTTTAATAACTCTGAGCCAATCATTTTGCAGGTCCATCCTCGACGCAATTATATATGGTCAGAACTATGTTGGAGTCTTTAATTGCTGATAAATCTGGAGGCAAAAGAACATTGCGAAAAGATATAGACGGTCAATATCTAATGCAAATTGATCAATTTCACAAAGCTTCATTTTATTGGAGTTACATATTAAAATTTAGTGGTGAGTTCTTAATTGTTTATTTTTTCATTTTAAATAAAATTCATTTTGTAAATATTTAAAAAAAAAAAAATTTTTTTTTTTTAGAATCGCTACAACAATGTTGCGATCTTTCCCAACTTTGGTATCGTGAATTTTATTTGGAAATGACAATGGGTAGAAGGATACAGGTAAAAATAAATCAATGTAAAACCTTTCGATATCTGGCGAGAAAAAAAAAAAAATACCAAAAAATGTCACACTCAGTGATATTTAAACAAATGTCAATTTATTTCTTTCGCTTTTTTTTTTAAAAACCTTAAATAAAAAAAAAATTTCAAAAATCTTTTTCAGATTTCTGGTAATTTTATTGTAAATAAGCATGACCCGCTTACGATCAAAAGGAATATCTATACACAAAAAAGAAAATTTTTTTTTTTTTGATTAAATGCCTTGAAGTTTTGAAACAAATTTTTTCTAAGCTAAGCTACTTTTTCTATTTTTTTTTTTTTTTAAATGTCGCGCTAAATGTCATTTATTTGCTTAAAAAAAAAATTTTTTTTATTCTTTTAATTTTTACAAACTCGAGAATTATTTATTTATGAATTTAAACTTTCGATTTTATTTATGTGTCGCCTTTTTTTTTTTTTTGGAATTTTGCAATTGTTGAATCGAAATGTAAAATGCTTGCAAATGTCATTATTATTATTTCCCCGCTTTTATTATCAATGTTTCTGATAATGTTTATGCTTGTGTTTGTTGATTTATGCGCAGAAATGCACAGTGCGGCATCAACATAACGAAGAATGCAGTGATCTCATCACAATGGAAAAACGAATTCAGGTACTCTATTTTCATAACATAAAATGAAAGTAATTTAAAAAAAAAAAAAAAAAAAATTTGTAATGTTCATTCTCACAAATTATTTTATTCCTAACAGCTCTTTTTAACATTATTTATTTTGGTTTCAAACTTCAGGTTTTAAAGTTTGATTTATTTCCATTTTTTTTTTTTTTTTTTCAACAGTTTCCAATAGAAATGTCAATGCCTTGGATTTTAACCGATCACATATTGAGAACAAAAGAGCCATCGATGATGGAGTAAGTGTGGTTATTGAGATTTAAAACTTGAATTTAACCCCTCGAAGAAAATTAAAAATTAATCATCAATTCTTTTTATCAGGTACGTTTTATATCCGTTGGATTTGTACAACGACAGTGCACAATGGGCTTTAACAATATTCCGAAAACAATTTTTATACGACGAAGTCGAAGCCGAAGTTAATTTATGTTTCGATCAATTCGTGTATAAACTTTCCGAACAAATTTTTTCACATTACAAACAATTGGCTGCCAGGTACGCGAGAGCTCACACGATGTTTTTTCGTTTTTGATTTATTGAAAAGTAAATAAATAAGTAAATTTTATTTGTTTGCAGTATTTTACTCGACAAACGGTTTCGTGCGGAATGCGTCGCGATGGGCACTTACTTGCATTACCCGAGAGCAAACAGATACGAAACATTGTTGAAACAAAGACACGTGCAATTATTGGGACGATCCATCGATTTGAACAAATTAATAACGCAAAGAATAAACGCGGATATGCAAAAATCATTAGATTTGGCCATTAGTAAATTCGAAGCCGGCGACATTACCGGCGTGGTCGTGAGTGTCAATGGAAAATAAAAAAAAAAAAAAAAAAAAACCTTTTTCTATTTTTTTTGCATACAACAAAAATTTTTTTCATTTCAGGAACTCGACGGAATACTACAAGTCAATAAATTATGTCATAAATTATTATCCAAGCTTTTAGCGTTAGACGATTACGATGCTATGTTTAGAGAGGCCAATCATAACGTATTGGCTCCCTACGGTAGAATAACCCTTCACGTATTTTGGGAGTTGAATTACGATTTCCTTCCTAATTATTGCTACAACGCTGCCACTAACAGGTTGTTAACTCTTACGGAAAAAAATTATTTCGTTGCGAATTCTTTTGTTCAAAATCATAATTTAGTTTTAATTGTAAAATATTTCATTTAAAGTTTTTTTTTTTTTTTTTTTGTCTTAGATTTGTTAAAACGCGAGGAATTCAATTTGCTCAGCCTGTTCATCGAGACAAACCTCCGTTGATGGGTCATCAATATTTGTGGGGTTCGAAACAATTAAATTTGGCTTATTCCACAATATACGGTCAATACACTGGTTTGTATTTTTTTTTTTTTTTTTTTTTTCACGCGAATGCAAAACGATTTGATCGTTTTAATGTGACAATATACAAATTTTTTTTCTTTTTGGTTATCCAGGATTTGTCGGCTCCTACCATTTTAGAATGATGTGTCGATTACTCGGATATCAGGGTATAGCCGTCGTCATGGAAGAACTTTTGAAGATAGTAAAATTGCTCATTCAAGGAAATCTGTTACAATTCACGAAAACTCTTATGGATGCGATGCCGAAAATATGTAAACTACCGAGATACGATTACGGGTCTCCCGGTAATGATCAATGATTAAAAGAAAATGTCGTTAAAAAAAAAAAAATGAATTATAAAATGTGATTAATAATAATAATTTTTTTTTGGTTTATTATAGGGGTTTTGCAATATTATCACGCGCAGTTGAACGATATTGTCCAGTATCCGGATGCGAAAACGGAATTGTTTCATAACTTTAGAGAATTAGGGAATACAATAATATTTTGCTTATTGATGGAACAAGCTCTCAGTCAGGAAGAAGTTTGCGATTTACTTCACGCCGCTCCGTTTCAAAACATTTTGCCTCGTCCTCATTGCAAAGGTGAAAATTGAAATTGTAAAAGCGAATGTTTTATCGAATGTCACCCCTCGATTTCACGTTTTTTATTATTATTATTATCATTTCAGAGGGAGAAAAGCCAGAAAATAAACAAAAAAGACTGGAACAAAAATATGCTTCCTTGCAAATAGTGCCTAATATTGAACGTTTAGGTTCCGCTAAGGTACAGATACAAAGAGAAAAAACAATCGTGTTGAAGCTTTGTGACTTTTTTTATGATTTATTTATTTATTTATTTTTTTTTTTATTTAAAGCAAGCGTTAATTGCAAGAGAAGGAGATTTGTTAACTCGTGAAAGACTGTGTTGTGGTTTGTCAATTTTCGAAGTGGTTCTTAATCGGTTGAGAAGTTTTCTCGATGATTCGACATGGGTCGGTCCGCCTCCTACCAATGGAGTCATTAATGTTGATGAATGTAGCGAATTCCATAGATTATGGTCCGCTTTACAATTCGTTTATTGCATTCCAGTTGGAGATACAGAATTTACAGTAGAGTGAGTTTAAAAAAAAAAACATTTCTGTCGGTCAAATCCATTGATGACACTTTTGATCGGATCGTTCTTTATCTTATCTGTCTGTTTGTTTTTTTTTTTTTTAAATAGAGAGTTGTTTGGAGAAGGCTTGAATTGGGCCGGATGTACAATGATAGTGTTATTAGGTCAGCAGAGAAGATTTGAAGCATTGGATTTTTGTTATCATATTTTAAGAGTACAAAGAGTTGACGGGAAAGATGAAAATGTCAAAGGCATCGTAAGTTATTAAAAATCTCAGAGTAGACAACCGAAAAAACAAATGAAGAAGGAGAAAATGGAGTTTGAATTTTTGTCAAAATTTTATTTTTCAGCATTTGAAACGAATGGTCGATAGAATAAGAAGATTCCAGGTATTAAATTCACAAATATTTGCAGTTTTGAACAAGTACCTAAAGTCTAGTGACACGGACGTTATGAGCGTCGAACACGTCAGATGCTTTCCTCCTCCCATACATCCATCATTAGCGGCTCAAGCTCATTATCATCGGCCTGAGCATTTACGACAGGTTGTCCAACATTAAAATTTTTTAATTTTTTTAATTTTTTTTCTGCCCGTCAAGAAATATTTTTAATTGCTTTTATTATGAATTTTATTTTATAATTAATCATTTGCGTCATTTTTTTTTCTTGTTTTTTTTTTCTTGGACGAATCGAAATGTTTTTTTTTTTTTTTTGTTCACACGTATAGCTTTATAGGAAATATGAATAATTGCATGCACGGATTTATATTTTTAAATCAGGAAATTATGTATTGAATTAACGTTTTACACCGTCGTTCTTATCATTATCATTATTATTATTATTTTATTTATGAAGCTGTAGAAAAAGTAAAAAGAAGAAAAGAGTTTCCCTTTGTGTTTGCGTGGGAAATAAACGTTTTAATTGTGTATTCAGGTATCGTAAATCAATAAATTATTGCAATATTTTTATTATTTTTATTTTTTTTTTTGCAAAATCGATTTTTAAAAAAAAATTATTCGATGATTTATTATTATTATTATTTATTTATTTAATATTTGAAATGAATAATATAAATGTTAAAATAAACTAAGCGTAAAATAAAATATAATTTATACAAAAAAAAAAAAAAAAAAAGAAAAATTGTTTTGTTTATCATAATTTTTTACCGAAAATTATTTTATTTTAGTAAAAATCGAGACATATTACCGATGAAGAACGAAAAAAAGAAAAAAAATAGAAATTTACTGTTGGGAAATAAAAGAACGCAAAAATAATAAATTAAAGAAAATGCAATCAAGCAGAAAATAAATTCAAAAAACCGGAAATACCGGAATTGTCATAGAAAAAAAAAACACAAATGAATTATTAAAATATTGCGACACTAGCGCATCCTATCGTTAATTTATTTAAACAAATGATTATGTTGTCGTTCTGGAATTGCGCTCTTGACAGAGACAGTTTTGGTGCGATCGAGTCATGAGTTAGTTAGTGTTTATCAATATTGTATCAAGTGTAAGAGTGAGAGAGAGAGAGAGAGAAATATTAATAAACGGATACACACATACACACAAACACGCACGCACATTTTAAAAGTGATAAATTATAATTGTGTTAGTGGTGATATAAATAATAATAATGACTACTGCAGCACTTCCACCATTAGAATTTACCGATTGTCTAGCGGATAGTCCATTTTTCAGAGATAATTTACACATACACGAAAAAGAATTAGAAAGAACAAGTCACCAAATAAAGAGACTTGAAAAAGAAGTTAAAGATTTAATAACGGCTGCCAAAAGTAAGTTTCTTTTTCATTTTCAAATTTTAATACTACCCACATAGTTTAAAAATTTTTATTTATTTATTTATTTTAAAAATATTAACCCAATACGATATCAATCGTATGAACGAAATGAATGTAAACAAATACACATGACATTTTTTGAAAAAAAACCTTCCACGTTATCATGACAAACGAAATAAACAAAATGTTTTTTTTTTTTTTTTTGGGATGAATGGATGGATGGATGGATGGATGAGAGAAGGAAAAGATTATTATTATTATTATTTGAAAAAGTAATAATTTTGGAGCGTTGAAATAAAAAGTTTTGAAAAGTGTAAGCTGGCCAAACTAGTTTTATCGGGTGGTGGTGGCGTAAAATTGTAGGTCAAGCAATAGCCGTCATACTATAAAGTCATGTGATCACATCTAAAATTTATTTTGTTTCATAATTATTTATTTACAAAATAAAAAAAAAAAAATTTTAAATTACTATTAGGTATGTGTGTGTGTGTGTGTGTGAAACTCTTTCAAATGACATTCGAAATGAGACAAAAAAACCAATTTGTAATTTTTTTTTTTTTATTAAATGTTGTCTAAACGAAAGAAAATAGTTTTTGAGGGTTGGTTAATGGTGAACTGTTGTATCATTATTTATTTTCTATCTGTTCTTCTTTTCTTATTATTTATTAGCATTAGCCATGAGTCATTAAACTACTTTTTTTTTTTTTTTTTTTTTTTAATAAAATAATGACTGGTGAGAGATTGTCGAATTTGATCTAGTTTCGATTTCATTGCATAATACAATTTAAACATTTTTATTTATTTATAATAAAAAATTTGTTTCCTGTTTCGATTAAAAAAAAAAAAATTTTTTTATATATAAATATAAGAGAGTAGAATGTAATCTCATACTCATGTATCGAATTTTGGTCACAAACGACATGAAATCATTTTTTTTTTTTTTTTTTTGGTAAATGTAATTTGAACATAAAATGATTTAAGGCACAAATGTTAATTGATGATACTCATTACAGAGGTTACTGTTACCTTGGTTGTGTGTGTGTGTGTGTATGAAAATTGATGTTTGGTGTTAATAACTTTTTTCTTCTTTTCTTTTAGCCCTCTCTCTCTCTCTCTCTCTCTTTTTTTTCCAATTGCACATTTCTTTCGAATGTGTAATTTAAAATAATAATAATAATTATTATTATTTTAGTTTTTAAAGACTTTTTAATTTCTTGTTTTAAATGCAAATTATTTTTCTCTGTTTTTTTTTTTCTGTTTCTTCTTCTTTCTAATGTTAAATCATTAATTTTCGTTGTAAATAATTCTCAAACATTTTTTTCATACAGTATTATTATTATTATTATTTTAAACGGTTTTTTAAATAGTTTTAAAAAAAAAAAAAATTCATGCTAAGGATCTTTCATTATTTCATTTTTTTTAAACAGAATTTTGTTTTTTTTTTAAAAAAAGCCTCTAGTCGATCTAACATTAGTGAGTTTTACTGTAAATGGTAACTGATAAAAAATCAATTTTTCAATTATGGCAATAATGGTGGGTGTAAAAAAAAAAAATGATTCAATTACGACCATTTGGAATTATCAACAAAGAAAAGAATAATAATAATAATAATAATAATAATTATTATTATTATGATAATAAGGTTCGTGGTTGGGAGCATGTGACAGGTCCAGATGGTAAACGATTATTGTCATTAACGACAGCAAAAAATGCTGCGTAATAATTAAAATGCTCGCGGAGGAAAATTGATATTAATATAATAGAAGGGGTCGCGGTGGTGGTGGTGGTGGCAGCGGAGGGGGGTCGTCGTAAAATACGAAAAATTGCGGTCGGGAAAACTTGGGGGAAAACACCGCACTCGAAAAAGATGTGGAAAATTTTTTAAAAGAAAGAATCGGATGAGGAAAAAAAAAAATTTTTTTAATACGTAACAACAACAACAACAACCGGCAAAAACTTTAAACCCCCGAGGAATCGATTCCTTCAGGATACGAGGGGGGGAGGGGAGAGGAGAGGGGGGGTATAAAAATCTGGAATGGATTACGGAGTTTTCAATACGGTCGTGATAACGTTAAAATTTCATTTAACTCAGCACCGCCCGAAGAGTTTTTGTTTCTATTCCATTCTCATAATGAAAAATTAATGGGTGTCTTCGTTTAAAACTTTCTTCTTTTCTTAGAGTCAAAATAATAATAATAATAATAATAATGATGATGATAATGATGATAATAAAATTTCATTTCATTGTTTTCTTTTATTTCTTCTTTTTTTTTTTTTTATCTTTTTTTTTTGCATGAACGATTTTTTTGGTTAAAACCCACAAAATTAAATTTTGCATTTTCTACACTTCATTTTCTTTATGTTTATTATTATTATTATTATTATTATTATTATTATTATTATTATTATTATTATTATTATTATTACTACTACTACTACTACTTATATTTAAAGTAAAATTACTCAACTCATAAATCTGAGATTTCAATGCCGTTTTCTCTCTCTCTCTCTCTCTTTTTTTCTTAACATTTCGAAATTCCCACTCTTTTTTTTTTTTTTTTTTTTTTTGTATATCTGGACAGAGGTGTGGGAATGCATTTAATAATTTTTTTCTTTTTTTTTTTTTTTTTGCAAATTAGAATTTTAAAAAAAAATTATTATGCGTGTGCATTATTAGTTTACGTAAGCAAAAACAAAAACAAAAAAAAAGTTAAGAAAACTGGAAGATTTCATAAAAAATCGAGTTCATTGAATTTTTCGTTTGATTTTTGACCCTTTGACCGCCATTTATATAAATGGTAAATAAAAATGCAACGAATCGAATCGATTATACAATTCGGGTTGTCACCGGAGAAGTTTTCATCATCATCACCATCATCATCATTATTATTATTATTTGCATAAATTTTTAATTACGTTATTTGGTTAATTCGAATTGGGTACGTCGCATGTACATATGTGACATTTTCATAGAGTAATAAAACATTTTCCGGATGAGGAAATGAGAGATGAGTTATGAATCATTCCAGTTTCAGACTTGATCAATCGCTTTTTTTTTTACCGTTTATTTTTATTTCCGGAAGTTGTTTTCATTTTCTCGTTTTTTTTTTTCCCGTTTTTCGGTTATAATATTATTCGCGTTTTAGCAGCGCCGTTTCCGGTTGTAAATTTTTTTTTTATGTGAGCCAAACGTTAGAAAATCGTGATGGGGAGAGGGGAAGGGGGGGAAGGAAGGAAAAATTAATTTTCAAAGTTTTAGAATCTCGCGAAAAACGTTATTATTATTATTATTATTATTATTATTATTATTATTATTATTATTATTATTATTATTATTATTTTTGTAGAAACGTTCGAGGGGGTGGAAAAACTTTTACGTGAGTTTTAGTTTATGCGAAATTTAAAAAAAAAGAAAAAAAAAAATTTCCGTCGAAAATTTAATTAAAAAATTTTCCGATCGAATTTTTTTTTTATTTTTCCGGAAATTAATAAATTTTATTTTTCCATCGCTTCCTGGAAAAAAAAAAAACGCTGGAAATTTTATATTGCTCGAAAACCGATGGGCGGGGATCGAAATAAAGATTTTTATTTATTTTTTTTTTAAAAAAAATATTAAGGGTAAAAAAAAAAACATTTAAAAGCCACGGAAATACCATCATCATCATTATCATCATCATCATCATCATCATCATCATCATCATCATCGTCATCATATATATGCATAATTTTACTACGTATTGTATCGATGGGTACGTCGCATGTACATATGTGACATTTCATAGAGTAATAAAACATTTTCCGGATGAGGAAATGAGAGATGAGTTATGAATCATTCCAGTTTCAGACTTGATCAATCGTCCGCTTTTTTTTTACCGTTTATTTTTATTTCCGGAAGTTGTTTTCATTTTCTCGTTTTTTTTTTTCCCCCCCGTTTTTCGGTTATAAAATTATTCGCGTTTTAGCAGCGCCGTTTCCGGTTGTAAATTTTTTTTTTATGTGAGCCAAACGTTAGAAAATCGTGATGGGGAGAGGGGAAGGGAGGGAAGGAAGGAAAAATTAATTTTCAAAGTTTTAGAATCTCGCGAAAAACGTTATTATTATTATTATTATTATTATTATTTTGTAGAAACGTTCGAGGGGGTGGAAAAACTTTTACGTGAGTTTTAGTTTATGCGAAATTTAAAAAAAAAGAAAAAAAAAAATTTCCTTCGAAAATTTAATTAAAAAATTTTCCGATCGAATTTTTTTTTTATTTTTTTTTTTATTTTTCCGGAAATTAATAAATTTTATTTTTCCATCGCTTCCTGGAAAAAAAAAAACGCTGGAGATTTTATATTGCTCGAAAACCGATGGCTGGGGATCGAAATAAAGATTTTTATTTATTTTTTTTTAAAAGAAATATTAAGGGTAAAAAAAAAAAAACATTTAAAAGCCACGGAAATACCATCATCATCATTATCATCATCATCATCATCATCGATTCATTCATTCATTTTTTTTTGTTTTGGTTTCGGTCGGTGGTTTTGTGTTTTCGAATAATGGGGGGAAAAAAGAGGAGGTTGTCGACAAAAAATTTTATTTTTTCGCAAAAAAAAATTTTAAAGTTCAACATCGATCCATCCACGTGTTTCGTTCGTTCGTTCGTTTGTTTGTTTGTTTATTTTTTTGTTTCTCGTACAAACGTACGTTGCGAGAAGGTATAACTGTTTGTTTTCCACGGTCCGTTACGCTTTTTTTTTTTTTTAACTTATTTCGAAACGGCAGAATAAAAAAATGTTTCGAAAGATTTATGAATCGTTGTAACCAATCGAATGAAAAAGCGGTTGAAAAAAAAAAACAAACAAACAAACAAACAAACGCGAGTTTTTTCGATGGCGGTTACGGCAAAAAACACAAACAAACAAACAAACAAACGAAATAGAAGAACGTTAACACGCGCGTTCGCGTCGGCCTTGTAAGAGTTTCGAATACGTCACACTCGAGGACTGATCGGATGGCGATGGAGGCGGTTGTCGTTTGTCCAAACGGAAAAAAATTAACTTTTACAATTTTACCTAACCTCGCAAGGTTTATAATTATCATTATCATTATTATTATTATTATTATTACTATACGCTTTCGTAAAGTTTTGGAGCGTTTATTAAATTCGCCCGAGAAGCGAACGTTTTTTTTTTCTGACTATTCCGTCCAAAAAAAAAAAAAAATTGCGCGAAAATTACGCGACCTTGTTTATCCACGTTAATGATCATTATTATTATTATTATTATTATTCGTCGAAGGATAATGGTATTAGAAAGACGAAAACAACAACAACAACGACAACGACAAAATGATTGTTAAATATTTCAATGTTTCGAACGTAAACAAACGCGGGCGTTAATTTTGGTAAATTTTTTTTTTTTTTTTTTTTTTTTGAAATCGTAAAAGGCGGAAGGTTTGGTGGTAGAAAAAAAAAAAAAAAAAAAATGCCGGATGAATAGATGGATGGATGGATGGTTAAACTCTTTATTCGTTTTTATTTTTATTTTTTGTTCGTGTTTAATTTACGATAAGTTTTTCCCACGGGAATACGAGTCGGGAAGATGATGAAAAGGATCATGAAAAGAAAGAAAAAAAAAGGGATGATGTGATGGAATCTTCGATGAAGATAAACGACGTTTGACATTTTTTTTCGTTTTTTTTCTTTCTGTCCCTGTTTCTTTCTCTCTCTCTCTCTCTCTCTCTCTCTCTCTCTCTCTCTCTCTCTCTCTCTTATAATTCGTGTGGAGGGAGAGGGGAGGGCGGAGGCGAGGGGGAAGGAGAAAAAAATGTTACATTTATTATCATATTATCATCATTAATATCATAATTATAATTTAATATTTCGTTGAGAGAGTTTTCGTTGTTCGCTTTTTACACATTTACTGGTTTAAAATTAATAATAATAATGATTATGATGATGATGATGATGAAGATGATGATGATGATGATGATGATGATGAAGATGATGATGATGATAATAATATGTAATCGAGAGTTTTGGCGGCGCCACGGCGGGTTTCCATGCGAGGGGAAAACGATCATTCCAGCCTGAATTTTTTTTTTTTTTTTTTTTAAGCCTCTTGACACAATTTTTTTTTTTTTTTTTGTATCAAAATCCATCCATTGTTCGATATATTGTAATATCGTTCATCGAGAAATGAAATATCGAATTCAAGGGAAAATATTTTAAATGAAAAAAAAAAAAAAAAAAAAAAACCTTGGATTCGAATTCGTGCGAAAATTGATCGTCGTGTTGAACGACGTTTAAAATAATAGGTGAAAACGATAATAATAATAATAATAATAATAGTAAGTTCGAGAAAGTTGAGGAATCGGTAAAAGGACGTTTCCGGAAAAGATTTTCGTGATGTATTTACTTAAAATCCCGTTAAAATTTTATTACGGTGACGTCAAAACGAAGCTGGTGACGATTGCGGTGGTGGTGGTGACAATGGCGGTGACGATGGCGGTGGTGACGGTGACGGTGGTGGTGGTATATAAACAATTTAAATTTAAAAAACTTTCCACCGAATCGTATTAAAATTATTCGCAAATGTCCGCACGGTCATTTTGAATTTGATATAAAACGAGATTCGAAAAAATTAATTTTATTTATAGTTTGCGGGAGAATTATTTTCTTTTTCGATTCGCTTTTTAAACTCTTTTAAATTGTTTTAAACAAAAAAAAAACAAGACTCGGTTGATGACATCAACGATCAAATCAAAACGCGACTGGAATTATTATTATTAATAATAATCAATCAATCAATCACATGCCTATTATTATTGGTTTCAATAATTTTCGTCATTCGCCATTTAAACGATGCGGTTTAATTTTACCGTATATAATATTACACGTCGCGACAATCGAACGTTGTCGTAATGTCGACCGACTGTTTATGTCGAAAAAATAATAATAATAATAATGACTCACGCGTTCGTTTCTTTTTTTTTTTTTTTTTTTTTTTGCGTGGATGCAAAATTTGTAAATTTTTTCAAATTATTAAAAGGGAATTTCGAAGAGGGGAGGGGGGAAAGAGAAAGAGAGAGAGAAGAAAACGGTTCAGAGGTCACGTTGAATGAAAATTTTTTTTTTCTTTTTTTTTTTTCAAAAGGTTTATCCAAGACATTTTCAATGACATTTATAAAAAAAAAAAAAGTTTTTAAAAATTATTTGCGTTCGAAACCGTGTTGTTAGCGTTTGTTTCGAAAGAGAGAGAAAGAGAGAGAGAGAGACTTTCGTTTGTTTTGATTTCGAGTCAGTTTTACATATTAAATGCCACTTTTGAATCGAGTGCACTTGAGTTCACTCCGACGAAATTCGTGATTTTCGGACATTTTCTATGATAAAAAAAAAAAAACGTTATGCGATTGGTTTTTGCTATGCTGATATTTTTGCTGTCGTTAATATTTGGTCAAGTTGTGAGAACCTAAAAAAATTAAAGACCAAGGAGGAACCAGCCTTTTTTAGGATGAAAGAGCGAAAGTATGCGATGGCGACGGCGGCGGTGGCGGTGGCACAACTTATCGCGTTGATATTTGTTTAATGGATTCGGCGCCGAACGGTTGGTTTTATTTAATTCACGACGATTTGTGACACGTCTGATGATGGGTTTCTTATGTCCTATCGTGGCGGAAGAAAGTATAGGAAAATGACGAAGGGTTGTTGTTGTTGTTGATGCCATTGCGGAATCCTAAATTCCAATTTTTTGGGTTTATTTTAAACGAAGAAATCAAAAAATTGCAAAATTTATTATTATTATTACAATCGTAATTGTTTGTTTGTTTGTTTGTTTCTCACTAAAAGAATTCGTTGTAAAAATGGAAAGTTAAAAAAAAAAAAAAAAAACCAAATCGAAAGAGAGGAGCGTATGTGTGTGTTTGTAATGATATTTCATTTAACCAACCCGTAGATAATTTATTTAACCTTTAATGTTGTTTGAGTTTTTTTTTTCTTTTTACTTTTTACCCGTATTTGTAAAAAGAGAAAGCAGAAGAAGGTACGAAAAAAAAATTTTTCGGTCGATCCGGTGATAATTAGTATATAAAAAAAAAAAAGGAAAACCGAAAGCGAGGGGGAAAAAAGTTTTTTCTTTTGAAAAACGATAAAATCGCGAGAGCGGCCCGTTTTCATTTGATATAATTTTAAATATTTAAAGATTTCGCGAGGGAGGAATGCGGGGAAAAGTGTGGGGAGAAAGGGGAAGGAAATGTTTTCCGACGGTCATCTTATCGTTGTAGAAATTTAGAAAAGAGAAAAATATTTTTATATAAAAATGATTAGATGGAAAAATATAAAAATAAACATGCAAAAAAAATGAAAATTAACGTTATTATTATCATTATTATTATTTTAAATGTGTTGTGTGTGTGTGTGGCACGGTGAAAGAGGAAGTAATTTTGTGGCGTACCGTGAATGACGTGTTAAATGATGAGCCTTGTTTCGAGGCCTGAAAAAAGAGAGAGAGATAGAGAGAGAGAGAGGAAGTTTGCATTGTTTTAAAAGTAATTTTTGTTTTTTTTTTTTTTTGTGGCCTGAAATCCAAGTCCGACTGCGTAAAACAAGTAAACATTATTATTACCAATTGTTATTATTATTATTACCATCATTATTATCATTATTATTATTATTATTAATATTTTCAAAACGAGTAAATAATAATATTAGGAAAAATAAAATGCGCGTGTTGTGTTGTTACGGTCGTGAAGGTCACACACATGCACACACGCAGCATTGATAATGTAGAGCACAAAATTTTTTTTTTTTTGTAAATTTTAATTTACGCGCGTTTCAACGCGTTGAGAAGCAGGTTTACCATCATTTAAAAATAAAAATTTTTTTTTCTAATCATTTTTCAGATTTATCCATAGCCCAGAGAAAATTGTCGCGGAGCTTGGAAAATTTCAGCTTTGCCGGAATCGAAAACACGCAAACGGACGACGAACGAGTCATACAGGAATCGTTGAAAGAATTCGGTGCTTTGATAGCTAAAATCGAAGATGTCAGGGAAAGGATCGTGAGTTTTTGTCTTTTTTATTTTTTATAAATTTTTACGAGAGACCTGATGACGAGGAGGAGAAGGAGGAGGAGGACATTGAGGTCACATAAAAAAAAAAAATGTGTCACGCAAATAATTATTTCCACTTTTTATTTTTCTTTTTTTTTTTCAAGGTTCGAAAACGCGTTCCGCGTACGAAAATTTTTTTTTTTTTTTTATTTTTTTAAATCGGATCGAAATTATTTAAATTATAATATCGAACTCCTCATTTTTTTTTCAAAACGCTGCGTAAAAGAAGGAGCAACAAAAAAAAGGTCAATTCCGAGTTAAAAGGTCAAAACAAAAACCGATTTTCCTGTCGATTTATTTTATTTTTTATTTTTAAAAAAAAAAAAACGTGATCTGGCATAAATGCGACAGATTTAAATGAGATTTTACATTTACTAATTTTTTGTTGTTGTTGTGCGCGTTATCACGCGCGTTTTCTTCTCGTTTTTTTTTTTTTTTTTAATATTATCAAACGCGCGTGTTATTTTCCCTGGGGGAGTAGGTTGGAAAAACAATAGAAAAAGTATCGATTCGAAATGGATAGGTAACACACGTAGGTATCACACAATTGCGGAAACGAAAATCGTCGCATCGTAATAATAATAATAATAATAATAATAGTAATATGTGCCACACGTAAAAAAAATTCGGTGTCGTTATTATCATTATTATTATCATTATTATTATTATTCTTTCCAGATCGAATTTTTTTTTTTTTTTTTACGTGATTGCAACGCGGGTACCACTCGAAACGATTAAAATTTTTAATTTGTTGCTGCAATTCCTTTAAATACATAAAAAAAAAAAGAAACGGTAGTGATGATAATAATGATAATGATAATAGTAATAATAATAATAATGATGACGATGATGGATGAACGAATCCGTATTGAATATTAAATAAGATTGGAATAAAATTATGGAAGAATTCAATAGAATTTATTTTTGGTCATTACTATATATAAATGCGCGGAAATCCTGAAGGAATAATAATTATTGTTATTATTATCGTTTGACGAACGGGTTTCGTTCAACCGATTTTTTTTTTTTTTTTTCGTAACGTTTGCCAAACTGTTTTATTACACGTTTAAATTATTATTATTATTATTATTATTTTTTTAAGGAAAATTACACAATTACTTAAAATTTTGTCAAAAATTACGGTCGCGAATTGTACCTTAAAGAGTTTTACGAACCTGACGTTTTTTTTTTTTTTTTTTTGTTTTTTTTTTTGTTTTAATAACTTAACGGTACCAAATGTTTTTTGTTTTTGTTTATGTTTATGTTTTTTTCGGGGGAATGAAAAATGTTTTGTACGTCGATTATAATCGGCTTTCTAATGTTTTTTTTTTTTTTTTTTTTTTTAAATTTAAACGGTTAAATTGTCAGTTACGAATTTCCCCCTCTCTCTCTCTCTCCAGTCGCGCGCGCGTGTTTATTTATTTATTTATTTTTTTAGTAAATTCCAGCTGGAGAAATGTAATTTTTTTTTTTTTTTTCGTCGAAATATTGGGGGAATTCACTTTAATTTTTGCTTCGTCATTTTTTTTTCATTTTTTATTTCATTTTCAACTTCGTTTCGTTACGTTTCGTTTTTTTTTTTTTGGAAAATTATTTCCCTCGCGGTTTCGCGTTTCGGTTTATCGAGTTTAAATTTTTTTTTTTTTTTTTTTTCAAAATAATAATTTGAACTTTTACCGTTTGCCGTTCGTGTTCTACCTTCTACCCCCACCACTTACATCATTTTCCCTCCCCCCCCCCAGTAAGTTATTTCACGGTTCGAGTAATAAAAAACTGGAAAACGAAAAAAAAAAAAAAGAATTTTGTTATTATTATTATTACGCGTTCTCGAAATGAGGAAAATTTGAAAAGTTTTTCCTTTTCTCTCTGATTTCCTTTTTTCTCCCTCTCTCTCTCTCTCTCTCTCTCTTTCTCTCTCACGTCGAGACGAGACGATATAATTTGTCGTTGAAATTTTTTTTTTTTTTTTTTCTTCATGGCTGTCGTGGTTGAATGAAAATATTTCGGTTTAACTTTGACCCCTTTAATTTTTGAATTTTATTCGGTTAATTTAAAATAATTATATTCAATTTATATGTCGGGTTGCACGTGCTACCAATTATTATTATTATTATTATTATTATTAATATTATTTTTTGATAAAGGAATATATCAGTGATTAGATAACAAACGATTTCTCTGACTGTTATTGTTCGAATTTTCGTTTGTTTGTTTGTTTTTCTTTTTGTCTTTACAATACTCGATGACTTATGAGAAATCAATCTTTTTGCCATAAAATGGATTTGTTTGTTCGTTTGTTTGTTTGTTAATTGTTTCAATAATAATTATTTCGTTGTTGTTGAGGTTTGGAATCGGACGTTTAAACGACGATGGCGAGTTTTGGGGTTTTGGGTTCGGGAAACGTGGAAAATTTTTTTTTTTTTTTTGAAATTTTTAAAAATTGAAAAATCGATCGAGTCGAAAACGTAAAATAAAATAAAAAGAGATAGAAAATTTTATTTATTTTAATTATTATTAAAAATTAATTTCATTTCGAGCAGACGAAATTAAATTTCCTCCCCCCCCTCCCCCGAAAAAGGGATTTTCATAAAATGAAAATTTTGAGTGAAAATTTGGGAGTTCCAGGAACGAACACGAGGATTAATAATGACGAAAAGGAAATATAATTTGAACGAAAGGATTAAAAATTATTATTATTATTATTATTATTATTATTATTATTATTACGAAATTAGAACTAACAAATAATAATAATGATGATGATGATAAAATATGAACGAATTTTCATCGTCGATCCTTTTTGATTTTCTCAATTTTTTTTTTTTCCCCCTCGTTTTCCAAACAAACGTTCTTGAAATTTGTATTGGAGCGTATTCGATGGATCGATCGATATTTCGATTATCGAAAAGTTTTCCCCAAAAAAAAAAATAAAAAATAAAAAATTTTCCGTCGTTTTTCCCGCTCTTTCTATTGGTTGTCGTGGCACACTGTGCTAATTATTTTTTGCCACCTCGTCATTTATTTAACGCTAATTGTTTCTCTTGTTTAATTGTTACAACAAAAAAAAAAAATTTCGTAAGGTGTGAATTGGACACCGTAGAATAATCATCATCATCATTATTATGTTTCGGTCGTCGAAATCATATTATTATTATTATTATTATTATTATTATTATTATTATTATTATTATTTTGACACGAATAAATCGAATTAGTTCCGTGCAATTTAATTTTTTGTATTATTATTATTATTATTATTTTTTTTTTTTCCATTGTTTTTATTTCGATGAATAGGAGAGAAACCTTATATTATTTCCTTCTGTTTTCAAATTACTCATGAATTTATTTATTTATTTTTTTTTCTGGACTTGCTGGTCATTACTGGAAAAACTACGAAATTTTCCAAAAAAAAAAAATTATTATTATTATTATTATTATTTTTTTTTTTGTTGGGGACTTTTGGGGAACAGGGCGATAAAACCTTACAGAATTTTTAATATTATCATCAATGCGAAAAACTTGTGAATGTAGTAAAAAACTTTTCAAAGGGAAAATCTCACGAAACATGTTTTCTTCGCGTTTTGCCATTTCCTTATTCGATTCGTTGTGTTAAATTTTCTTTTGTTGTTTTTATCATAAAAAAAAAAAAAATCGAATCGATCGCACGCGTAAAAAAAATTTGCAGAAAATTCGAAGCAGACGAAAAAAAAAAGAAAAAAAAAAAACGTTTGATTAAAAATGGTGATGTTTACACGTCGTCGTCGTCCTCCTCCTCTCACGACGCGAAAAAATTCACGATGGCGAAATTTTCTTTTTTTCTTTTTCTCCTTCTTCTTCTTCTTCTTCTTCTTTCCATATTCGTCTTCTTCTTCTTCTTTGATTCGGGACCGAAATATATTTTAAATCCACGACGTGTAAGAAATGAAAAAAAAAATTTTAATTCGCGTGTTTTTGATTTACGATTTAAAAACGAAAACAAAACGAAAACTGGCTTTAAATACGTGGAATTAAATAATAATAATAATAATAATAATAATAATAATAATGATGATGATGATGATGATGATGATGATGATGATAAATATCTTACAACTTTTACTTATTTGTAAATTTTTCGTGACCGCGCATTTCTACTCTTCTCATTTATTTACCGAAGATGATTTTTTAGAAAATCGCGTATCGTCGTCATACGAAATGTTCGTGTAATAATAATAATAATAATAATAATTATTATTATTATTATTAAATGGAAAAGCAAAAAAAAAAAAAATTTAAACAAAAAACGGTTTTTTTTTTTTTTAATAAATAATTTATTGTAAATTGTCGTCGTTAAACATTAAAAAATAAACGGGGGCAGTAAAATAAAAGAAAACGGTGGAGGGGAGGGGGAAGCCACTGTTGTTGTTGTTGTTGCTGCTCGTTTGTTTGTTTTTCTTTTGCGTACGAATATTTATTATTGATGCGAAAGTTGAATAATCGATAATCGATCGAAAATGAAAATAATCGTTTGTTGCATAATTTTTTTTTTTATGTGTAAAAGAAAGAAGAAGAAGAAGAATATTTTCTTCGCAAGAGTTTTTTTTTTTTTTTCGTTAAACATTAATTTTTTTTTTTGTAATTAGTTATCGGTCGTAAATCGATGCGGTTCACAAATGGAAATCTATCGATCGATAACGAATCGATATTTTATAATAATCATCGTTTTTTTTTTTTTAAAAGCGCCATTCGTCTCGCGATTTTACTCGGATTTAATAAAAACATTCGTCGCGGTATATGTAAACCGCGTGTTTGTTTGTTTGTTTCGGGTGCGGCAGCCATTTTGTTTGTTTGAAAGTTTTCATTGCGAGTGAAATCTTTTTAAATGTGATGATAATTCTAGAAAGTTCTTTTATTTTTACGCTCGACAGAAAAAAAAACGGAGAGGATTTTTAGTTGTGACGATGGTAGATGTGGCGATTGCACTAACCGATGACTTGTCTTTCGCAGTCCTGATAAACCTGAAAAATTTCAGGTTCCTTTCTTTTCTCTCTTTCTCTCTTTTCTATTTGATAGTGTGCAATTTTGAAGAAAAGTATAAATATAATTAAGGTTCGTTTGTAAAATGAAGCATAACCCCCAATTAAAAAAACTTTTAAACGTCTCGACATTTGTAATTGATTAATTAAAACTCCGTTAGAATCAAATATGGCGACCATAAGTTTTTTTTTTTTTTTTTTTTTCTGTTATCAAATCGTTTTTACTTTTTCGAATGCATCCGTTTCGTAAGAATCCGTTATTTTTGTCATTATTATTATTATTAATATTTTAATATTTTGTTTAGTATAGTTGCACCAGCCTGAATTTCCAAATTCGGTTCGGTCCGGTTTCGGTGACATAAAGGGAACTCGTGTTGTGACAAATTTCCACGTCGTGTGGGTTTTCGAATCCCGTCGACGTCGTCCATTGGTCTGTAATGATTTCGTCGATGGGATCGATAGTCAATCCTAAATAAAAAAAATTTGATTTTTGAATTAGTCGCGGAATCGATTAGAATAAAATTTTCCGAACGTTCGTACCCCGAACGATCGAACACGAACCTCTTATTTGTACCATCGGTAAAGACGGACCGTTGACCGCAAATATTTTATTGCCGTACGACGTAACCGCGAATATTCTTCCCATTCCCGGTTCTTGAACTGTTACCGCGGGATTCGTTCCGATCGGGAAATCTCTGAAACCCGCTTCGGGACAAACGACTCTCATGTTTTCTCGATCGGCTATGCATAAAAGATCCAAATCCTGGAGAAGAGTGATGCTGTGTGGAACTTTCAACGGTAAAAGTTCTTCGTTTTGCGGTATGACGTTGAGCAAATTCCCGTTCGAATCGTATTTTAGTATCCTTGACATTAAAAGGAATGATTTTTACGTTTGCAAAAAAAACCTTTGATGGGAAAGGGGAATGATACCTGAAATTACAGTATCCGTCGGCGATGAATATTTCTCCGGTCGTAGCGACAGCAACGTCTGTTGGCTTGCACAAATGATGAAGACCAGAACCGGGTTCGAATCTCTGTCCGAAAACCAAAGACGGTGTTTTCGATTCGGGTTTGAATTTGAACGCCTGTCGAATCGAAAATTTTTCAATGTTAACATTTGATTGATTTGCGAACAAACGAACTATTATTATTATTATTATTATTATTATTATCACGAATCGTTATTTCACGTTCTTAGTTTTTTTTTATACCTGATGAAGAGCAACATCGGTCATGTAATAATATCCGTAATTATCTATCGTAAGACCGTGCGGCATGTAAAAGAAATTACTACCCCAGCTGTTAATGACTTCGCCCGTGTCAGAATCCAACGTTAAAATCGTGTCAACAGAAATCGGACCCTAAAAAAAAAAAAAAAAAAAAAAAAAAAAACAAAAAGGTAAGAGAGAGGAAAAATAAAAAAAAAATGAATTAATCACAGCGTGACATTGTTTTTTTTTCTCACTCTCTCTCTCTCTCTTATTATAACTTATTTGTTGTATTGTGTTAATCGTGTTAGTAAAGGTTGTTGTTGTTGTTGTTGTTGTTGCTTTTGTTGTTTTTGTAATCCTACCTACCTGATTAACATATTGAAATTGATGTGATTCATTGAAGGACGTTTCGTCCCATACTCTTGGCCCTCGATGGAAAATGACCGGTTGATGATTCAAGTTAACGGCAACTCCAACAACTTGACCCAGATTAAGTGATTTTTTCGGCCATCCTTATCGATATATGCAAAAAAAAAAATTAATTAAAGATCACGATAGAATGATGACTGACCTTTTGCCCTCGAAGCAAAAGAAGAGGCGGGCGAGAGGGGAAAACGAAAACAAACAAAACAAAACAATTTTTGATGACCGCGGTCACGCACGGTCGGTGTAAACAATTGCAAATTTTTTTCATTTAAATCAAATTTTAATAAAATGAATTTTTTTCTATTTAAACCTTCCGGTTCGCCATTGAAAAAACAATAATAATAATAATAATAATGATAACGTTTTTATTAGAAAGAAAAGAAAAGAAAATTTACAAACCTTGGACTTCAACTGGATGCACCGGAATCCTACGATCGTTTTGTACGTTGAATAAATCGTCTACGTTTGAATAAAATAAATTTTTAATGTCGACATTTTGACAAAAAACACAGTTAAAAATGTTTAAAACGTTTACAACAAAGAGAAAAAGGTACAATCTTGCCATTTTTCGTCGTGACGAACGTTCGATGCGTTCGCTCGTTCGTTCGTTCGAGGACGTTCAATAATTTATCGCTTGCGCATTAACGCTCGCGGTGCGTTATTTTTTTTTTTTATTTTTTTTCTATCCCTTTCCTTTTTTTTTTTTTTTTTTAAAAAAAAATTATTTCCCCGGGGGGTGGGGGCAGGAAAGGAAGTTAGATTTTCTTGTTTTCCTTATACCGAAAACACTTGTAACACATGTAAACATTTTCCTCGTGTGTCGTCTCCCCCCGTGAAAAATATGTAAAATGAAAACGTATTAATTATTTCTTCTTTCGTTGATTGTTTCAGCTGGAATGCGCTTACGATCAAATTATCGTACCGTTGGAAAATTTCAGAAAGGAAAAAATTGGAAAAGTCAAAGAGGGAAAAAAGAAATTTGAAAAACAAACGGCAAAATTTTGTCAAAGCCAGGAAAGATATTTGAATTTGAGTATAAAAAAACAGGATTCGCAATTGAAAGAGGTAGGTAGGTAGGTTAGTGATATATTCGTCTTTTCTTTTTTTTTTTTTTTTTCTCGTAAATGTCAACGGCCCTGAACTGTCACCCCGTCATAACTTTTTTTTTTTTTTTTTTTTCAATTTTCCGACGTTTTCTCCGCCCCCGATATCACAAATGTGGCCCGTGAATCAAATTTGCAGGGTGCCTGCTGACAATAGAGCTTTCGTACGGTTTTCCTTGTGTGTGTGTCTCTCTCTCTCTCTCTCTCTTTTCCTGTCGAGTTTCTTACGGTTTTAATTTCCCTCTCTTCTTTATAACGTTATTATTAAATTTTCGACGGTTTAATAATGTGTGCATGAGTTTAAATTTTGAATTATTTTTAAAAAAAATTTCATTTCCGTGTGAACTTTTTTTTCCCCCGTTTTAAAAATGGTCGAAACTTTTTGAATTACCGTCACGCGATTTGTGTTAAGGAGGGGAGGGGGGTGGAAGGGGAAAAATCCAAGCTATTATGTTTATATATATATATTAATCGAAACTTGAACTTTTACATTTAACCAGCCTTCGAATCAAAGAGTTCGCCATTCGTGATGTGTTATGAAGAAAAAGTGAGAGAGAGAGAAAGAGAAAAGTGAGTGTGTGCGTGCGTGCGTGTGCGTTGGAGAAATGGAGTTATGTTTTTTTTTTTTTTTTTTTTAATGTGAAATCTTGACATTACTAATTTTTATTTTTATTTTTTTTAAAAATGATTTTCCAAGATTTCTAATTTATTATTATTATTATTAATTTTTCGTTTTCTCTCCTTCTCTCTCTCTCTCTCTTTTTTTTTCTCCTCCTCCGCAAAATGGAAGAAATTTAAAAAGAGCGGGAAAAAAATTTTGATCGATTTATATATATATATTTTTTTTTTCACTTGAATTTTTTTGCGCTCGTTTGAATTTTTGAAAAACGGGAACGAAATGCGCGCGCGTAAATTTTTGCGGGGGGCAGAGGCGGGGTAATCGGGAAGGGTAGTAAAGAAGCGACCTTAAGCAATCTGCCCACACACACACACAAACACGAAAACATTTCGGAAAATGATTTTTTTTAAGGAATCGGGAAAAGGGAAAAAGTAAAAAAAAAAAAAAAAAAAATGTATATTACCGGGATTTGTCATTTTTATCATAGACGTTTTGTCGCGGAAAGTGTGAAAAAATTGTTTTTAAAAACCGGCGGAAATTTGTAAAGGTTAAATTAAAAGGGGAGGAGCTTTTTATTCTTATTCTTTTCGTGATTTAAAGTGAATAAAAAAAAAAAAAGGAGAAGATTCGAAAAAAGGGTTTTCACTTTTCTTTTTTTTTTTTTTTTTTTAAATCAAGTTTTTTCATATCATACCAGTTATCTGGTATTTATAGACAGTGAAAGTGGTGGCAGTGGGCATAAAAGTAAAATTTATTTATTTATTTATTATTATTATTATTATTAATATTTTTTTTTTCTCGTGTTTCGTATATCGATTGTCAAGTAAAATAATTCGTTGTTTGTGATTTCATTGTTATTGTCGCCGTTGTTGTTGTTTATTATTATTATTATTATTATTATTATTATTATTATTATTATTATTATTATTATTATTATTATTATTATTAATATTTTCATTTTTTAAAGTAAATAATTTTAGTAGTTAAGCGCGCGGCGACGTGTTTGGCTGGCATTTTGTTACGTTTTTTTTTTTTTTTTTTTTTTTTTTTGTATTTTCCAGTCGATTTGTCAAGCGTGTTTCGGTTCGTCGAAAAGTAGGTCATTTATTTATAAACAGGCATCATCATCATCATCATCGTAATCGTCATTCAGGTTTTAATTTTCCAACGCGTTTGCTTTTTGTCAATTATTTTATTTTTTTTTTTTTTACGAAAAAAAATTATTATTGTCGTCTTAGTCGTCGTCGTCGTGGCAGTTATTATTTTAATTTTTTTTTTATTTTTATTTACCTGAACTCTTTTGACATGACAAAATCATCGAGTAGATTATTAAATTATGATGATGATGATGATGATGATGATAATGAAAGATTTTCATCTTTTTTTTTTTTTTTTTTTTTTTTTTTTCCCTTGACGATGCCACGCTTGAATTTATTAAATGACGAAAATGACCGTTTAATGAACGTTTAATGATGAGGACGACAGACTTTGGTTTAGGATTACAATCGTTTGTCCGGACGTTTATTTTCTAAAAATTTTTTTTTTTTTGTCGTTACGTTCGAAGGCGTTCGTCGACGTTCGTTTTATTTTTCTTTCTTTCTTTTTCTTTGAAGAAAATGTGAATTTTCCTTTCGATAGAGTTTTTTTTAAAAAAAAAAAAAAAAACCAAGTTTTATTATTAATATCGTTTGTCGTGCGCGGTTGTTGTCGTTCGTTTGGTGACGTATTTTTTTTTTGTTTATCAATTTTGGAAAAACGGTATCGAACGTGAAAGAAATAATTTGTTGAAATGTCTCCCCTCCCCCCCCCATTGATTTTTCATTTTTTTAAAATCTTTTACACTAGGATGAAAAAATGAAACGTAATTGACCGATGCTCAAGTCGGTCGTTGTTATTATTATTATTATTATTAAAATTTGTGTCCGAAATGAAAATTCATTTGTCATTACGATTGTTGTTGTTGTTTGTCAGATTATTGCTTTCTCGCCCGCCATTTTTGCCGTTCGTAAAAAAATTCATATTTTTTTATTTTTAATAATCGTCGTACCGTTGTTTGTTGTACAACAACCAAGTCTTAACGGTCGATCAAAATCATTTATTTAACGTCAATCATCACGATTAGGATACGCTGATGATGATGATGATGATGATGATGATGATGATGATGATGATGATGATGATGATGACTATTATTATTATTATTATTATTATAAAATAATCCCGTGCGCATAAATTTTTTTTTTTTTGTGTGTGGCGTTCATTGTATAAAGAGTTTTCGATTTTTAGGTTGTTGTTGTTGTTACAAAAAAAACTCGCGAAAAAATTCCAGGGAAAAAAAAAGTAAAAAATTTAAAAAAATTTTTTCGGAAAGAACTTGGGTCAATGAACTCATACCGTGATAAAAAATAATTTTTTTTTGTGCGGTTATAAAAATAATTTTCATTTATCGACTCGAACGACGCTTTGACTTTTTTTTTTTTTTTTTTAAAAATTAATTTTAAATGGAGGAATCGTCGGTGGATGATGGTGAAAAGAAAATAATTTCAGGTAAGTACACGTTAGGGGATGATGACGTCATCATTGTTTCGATTCGAATAACAAACGACAAACAACGAACGCATGATGATTACATAATTAAATATCCACGGATTTATTTTTACTTTTAATTTGTTGTTCGTTGTGTGTGTGTGTGTCGATTGTTCGAAGGACGTTGATTCCAAAAAAAAAAAAAAAAAAAAAAAAAAAATGTATTCGTGGTTTTTCGAATGCGACAAAAAAACAATGAAAATAACAAACAACGGACGTTAAACAAACAAACAAACGTTACGGACGTTAAACTTGTAAAATCTAACAGAAAATTGTTTTAACATTGACGATGTGATAATGGTGACTGATGAACGGAAGTCGAACAGTGGTAAACCGAATGGACATTTTTTTTTTTTTTTTCAGTAATAATAATAATAATAATAATAATAATAAAAATGGCGAACGAAAACGGTTTGAATAATTCAGGTTCGATCATTCGAAAAAAAAAAAAAAAAAAAAATTAAACAAACAGAAACGATTAATTTGGTGGAGATTGTTGTATAATCGTTATTTACATAAAACAAACAAACAAAGAGAGAGAGAGGTGGGGCGATGGGGAGGGAGATTGTTATTACGGAAAGCAAATATTATTTGTTATTATTATATAATAGTTTATCGATTGATTGATTGATTGATTGATTTATTATTTTAAATTTTTTTTTTACACAGGCGGATGCCACGTTGGACATGGAAGAACGAGAATTATGTCAAGCAAGTCTCCGATATGTTTTTTTGCTACAAGAAGTTGAAGAAAGGAAAAAATTCGAATTTGTCGAAACGGTAAATAAACGATTCATTCATTTTTTCATTCCGATTGTTTTTTTTTCTCTCTTGTGTTAACAAAAATTTTTTTAAACGTGTCTGGGGAGCCGGGGGGCGGGGGCGGGTGTCGAGGTTAAGGTAAGGAAAAGAATAAAGTAATGGCGAACGGGATTTTTCGTTATTGATCATCAATTCCGTTCGTTCGTTCGTTCGTTATCGGAGAGGTTTTAATATTAAAATATTTGAAATCGTTTAAAGGAGGATTTTATTTTTCAATTTATTTTTAATTTATCAATGTTGCGTCAATTATTTTAAATTGTCTGGGGGGTTCGAAATGTCTCTCCTCCCTCCCCCAGAAAGAAAGACCCCGTGGTTGTTAAATCGAATCCGAATCGTTTAAACGTTTCTTAATTTTTCCGATTGATCGTTGATCCCAATTATAATTTTGGACCTTACGCAGAGGGAAAAAAAAAAACAAAATGGTAGTCATGGGGAGGTGGGGGGTGGGATGGGGTGGTGGCGTACTCGAACGTCATTTCTCGAATTCTCATCGTTTTCAAAAAAAAATATTTTTAAATGAACGCCCCGTTGCGTTTTTTTTTTTTTTCTCTTGGACCGTTGATAAAACCCTAATTAATGGTGAGATTAAAAATCCATTTGAAATGATTTAATGGGAGTCGGGGGCTGAAGAGCGGGGGGGGTGGTGGTGGTGGTGCGCGTGCTGGTGATGATAATAATAAATAATAAATTGATGAAAAAACGTTTGACGAAGGAAAAGAATAAGAAAAAAAAGAATAAAAATGACGAAGAAGAAAAAGAAAAAAGAAAAATGTCTTTTTTTTTTTTTTAAAAAGATCTTTTCCCATATAATCTACTTTTTGTCATCGTATTGATTTTTTATTATTATTGTTTTTAAAGCTTTATTCGCTGGAGAAAAAAAAAAAAAATAATAATAATAATAATAAACGATAATTATTTTTCTTAATACGGTAAGTATTAAGCTCGTAATAAAAAATTATTATTATTATTATTATTATTAAATTATTTTTTTTTTGTCCCCCCATCTTCTACTTCCGGGGGGGGGGGTAAAGGGAGGGAGCATTAAAACTTTTTAATGCATTTTTAATTGTGAATAAAATGAGATGGAACGAGGGCGGGGGTGGCGGTGGCTGTACAAATGATGGCCGCGATGAGGGAATTTAATTAAAGTTTTTTTTTAGGCGTTAACAACAAAAAAAAACGAAAGAATCCGTCGGACTTTCGAACGTATATTTATCATTCACATAAACGCGTTCGTCGTCGCACGTAACGGGGTTGCAAATTTATTTTATTTTATTTTTATTTTTATTTTTACGGAGTTTAAAATTTCTATTTAATTACGTAACGACGTCATCGTCGCCGTTATTATTATCATTATTATTATTACTATTAATTGCAACGAGTTATTTTTGACTTTGAAAAACGTTAAATGTTTTTTTTTTTTTTTTTCGGTCTATTTATTATCATTATCATTATTATTTTTTTTTTTTTTGGACGCGAAATAAAAAAAAAAAAAAAGAGAAAATTTAATGCTTTCGTTTTCTCTCGCTCTCTCTGTCTCTTTCTCTCTCTCAAACTAATCTTTGACTGATTTATTATTATTGTTATTGTTATTGCCTTTGTCGTTATTATCATTATTAGTATTATTATTATTATTATTATTATTAATTTATTAATTAATTTCATACGTTTTTATTTTTAGCTTCTATCATTTCTATTCAGTTGGCTGACATTTTATCATCAGGGTCACGATGTTTACGGCGAATTCAAGCCGTACATGACAGAACTTCAGTTGAAAATACAAAAGGTAATTTAATAAGTTTTCTCTTTTTTTTTTTTCCTCTTCCCCTCCTCCCCTCCCTCTCTTCCCTCCACCTACCCCCGGTTCTTTCCTTTTTTTTTTTTTTTTTTTTTTTTCGATGCGAAGAGAGCCTTCGTGCCATTTTTCTCTCGAAACGTTTTTATTTTTTTTTTTTTTAGCATAAAAATTCTTTTGTCTTTCGTTTTTTTGTTAGGTTAATTGATGCGTGACATAAATTTGACTTTCGTTTCTATATAAAACAGGCGAGAATTCGATATCCTCTGTTGTGTTCTTCGGATGCATTTACAAAATATTCGCGTGTAAAAAATTATTATTATTATGTTAATAATAGTTTTTTTCTCTCTCTTTCTCTCTCTCTCTCTCTCTCTCTCTCTCTCTCTCTCTCTCTCTCTTAACACGAAAGACCCCCCGTTCCATTACGTGAAAACGTTTGTAATAACGGTGAAAGGGAAAATATTCTCATCATCATCATTATTATTGCGTTTTTTTTTTTTTTTTGGATTTAAATCAATGGCGGATTAGCGAATGAGATTTCAATATCGGTTGTACGGCAACTGTTCGTTCGATTAAGGACAGCAACAACAACAAACAACAAACAACAAACATAAAAAAATTTTTTTATTTATTTCCGCGAAATTTTTAATTCTTCGTTACGTCATCATAATTACCGCCGATTGATTCATCAATTTTTTAAATAAAAAATCGATGACCTGATAACGTACTCACGCGCACACACGGGTTCAAAAGGTCGGAAATAATTTACTTCCGACCGTTATACACGTTTTATCTTTCGTACCAAAAAAAAAAAAAAAAAAAGAAACACGAACTGGCTGGAGTTTTAAATCTGGATTTCTCGGTAGAAATAAGTTTTTTTTAAAACGGGAAACCCCCTTCCCCTTTCCTCTTCCCCTATTTCCCGGGGGTTCCCCTCCACCCTCCTCTCTCCTCGTATGATAAGTGATAAAAACAAAAAAGAATTTTTTAGGTTTTATTTTTTGTTTGGTTTTGTTTTTTTGTTTTTTTTTTTTTCTTTCTTTTTCATCCCTATTTTTTTTTTCATTTGTTTTATTATTATTATTATTATTTGGTAGTTTTGCTTTAACTCACTGACACACGTAATTTGCGTTTTTTAAAGTTTTGCGTTAACACACAAATTGACGTATGAATTAAAAAAAGAGTGGCGTGAAAATTAATTTTTATTTTTTTTAGACGAGAGAAAATTTCAATGCGACCCGTGATAAAACGAAATCACTTATGCAAAAAGTTTTGGAAATGAGACAGCAGGTAATTTATTTATTTATTTGTTTTGCGTTCGATAAAGAACGCCGCGTTTTTTGAATTGATTTTGCATGTTTTTACGCGCGTGTACGCACACACACACACATATGTATTTTCTTGTGTTTGTTTTGTTTTGTTTTTTTTTAGAAACCTCCGGATCCCACCATCGTCAAATCATTATTCACAAGAGAAGGTTATTTGTTTTTAATGGAAAAAAGTAAGTTGAAATCGTTTTCGAAAAGGTTCGGGGGTTCGGCGAAAGGGAATAGAGAAAAGGAAGTGATTTTAATAATTATTTATTACGTTACAGAGGCTTTTGGAACCACGTGGACCAAACAATACTGCCGTTACAAAAAGGATACCAAAGAATTCGAAATGATACCGTTTCATCAAATGACGACGAAAACGGTTGTAAGTTTTTTTTTTTTTTTTTTTTTTTATTACTCGTTCCCTTTCCACTTGAGTGTCAGAGCATGCGATCTACCACATGTCGAAAAATTTTAAACAAAAAAAAAATGATGAAAGATGGCGGATTAAAAAAAAAAAATTTTGTTTATTCACGTTTACAGAACGCGGCAGAAAAAATAAAATTAGCTTCGTGCACGCGGAGAATGTCGGATTCGATAGAGAAAAGATTTTGCTTCGATCTCATATCGTCGGACAAGTGAGTAGTAAAATGCGATACGAATGCGTCACGAAACAATGACGTAATCGTTTACCGTTTTTTTTTCCAGGCCTGGAGTAGTTTACACGTTGCAAGCCCTGTCGGAGGCCGATAGGAAATTGTGGATGGATGCCATGGATGGAAAAGAACCGGTACGGTATATGATAAATTTAAAGTTTCTAAAATTAAAAAAAAAATTGATTGAAAACATTGTACATCACGTTCGTCGCAGACATACGCCATTCCCGGAAACATACCCAAAAGCGAAGAGCGTCAACTCGACGAAACCGGAATTAATTTCGTTAAAAAATGTATCGAAGTCATAGAGTCGAGGGGATTGGAAGAACAAGGACTGTATCGGATAGTCGGAGTCAATTCGAAAGTGAACAAGCTGCTTTCGATGGTTTTGGATCGGAGAAAAGCCGACAAGTTAAATTTGGACGACGTGTACGAGTGGGAAAGCAAAACGCTGACGAGCGCTCTTAAAAATTTCCTAAGAAATTTACCCGAACCGTTGATGACTTACAAATTACACGATTCTTTCATCGAAGCAGCTAGTGAGTCTGAGAGTTTTATAAAAACAAACAAACAAACAAAACAAAAACCGAATGCGAGAGCTTTGCAAAGAAGTTTTCGATTTTGTTGTTGGCGTTTGTTTGTTTGTTTGTTTCCACGAGTGATTCAATATTTAATGATTAATTAAAGAAAAATTAATAATTATCACCCGTTACGTTTACAGAAAAATCGAGTAACGCTTTGAGAGTGAGCAGCGTTCATTTGTTGGTTCACAAACTTCCGCAACCGAATTTTCAAATTTTAGACCTACTCATAAAGCATTTATCAAAGTGAGTGAAAGAAAGACAAAAGAAAAGTATCTGGAAAGGTTTCGAATTGCTAAAAAAAAAAAAAAAAAAAAAACGATATTTTTTCAGCGTGGCATCGAAAAGCGACAAAAATTTAATGTCCGTGAGCAATTTGGGTGTTTGTTTCGGTCCGACTCTTCTCAGACCCGAAGAAGAAACGGTTGCCGCCATATTGAACATTAAATTTTGCAACATCGTCGTCGAAATAATGATAGAAAATTACGAGAAAATTTTCAAGGGACCGCCCGATGGTAAAAATGGAAATTTGTTCAATTCGTCTCAAGGAAACGTTCGAGAAGTGAGTTGAGGGGCGGGAGGGGGTGGGGGAAAATAAATGAAAGAATGAGGGGTAATTTAATTTATTTTTTTAATGCAGTTGAATCATAAATTTAATCAGTTACAACAATCGCAGCAACAACAACAGCAGCAACAGCAGCAGCAAAATCAATTCGTTTCAAAGACTCACGGTGGAAGCGGAGGTGGGGGAGGAGGAGGAGGAGGTGGAGGTGGAGGGAGCACTCAAAGTTCACCTTCTCCGACTCCATTAATAAGAGCTCCACCGAGACATCAATTCATAGGTCAACAAAATGCAATTAACCACGTAAGTTTCGTTCCAGAAAAAAATTAGTTTTCTTATTACGTCACGGATAATGACGACAGATTTAATTTTTAATTCTCTCTCTCTCTCTCTCTCTATCTCTCTTTGTCTCTCTTTACAGCCTATAAAGAATTTTTTCAACGACAAATCGAATTCCGTCAATTTAAGTGCTAGTCTTAATAACGTACCTTCCATGACGAGGGATCGAGATTTTTTTGCCGAAGGAGGAGAACAAAATTCAACAGGTAACGTATCGAAATTCGAAGATTTGTCGATTGATACCTTACTCGGAAAAAATAAATTTTTCCGTCGGGTTTTTTTTAGCGTCTGAAGCTAATTCCACGACAAATTTTTATCCCGGATCCGGAGCGAATCCCGTGTCGTCATCGGTGGGTACATATTCCGAAAGCAATTTGCTTTCTCTAAACACGCATTCCAGTTTCGATCGTTTAAAACCGAGGAGATCTCGTTATTTATTTTCAAACGCAGGTACGAACGATATTATTATTATTATCATCAATATTATTATCCGTCGTCGTAACGGAATTTTTTTTTTTTATTCGCGTTAGTGACGTCAGAAATTCAAAACAGCAACAGCAGTTCGAACGAATCAGTTTCATCGAAAGACGGTCAGGATCATTTTTATTCTTCGTCGTTGGACGCATTGAAAAAAAATTCCTATCAGGGAGATTTTTATAACGACGGAGATCATTTCAACAGAGCGGGAGGAGGAGTAGGTGGAGGTGGAGGAGGTGGATACGGAGGAGAAGATTGCGAATCGTATTCGACAGCATCTCCCGTCCTGTATAAATCGAATCCCGGTGGAATCCCGCAAAAAGGTTTGAGAAATTTGGGGATTCATCCACTGCCGATTTACAGGCCTCAACCGAATAACGTGTGAGTTTAAAAAAAATTTATTTATTTTTTTTCGTTTGTTTGTTTGTTTGTTTTTGGTTGTTCGGGTCGTCGGGTTGTCGAGGATCTTTTGGGATTTATTACTAACAAATTCAATTTATTATAATTGTGGGCATGTTTTTCTTTTTACTAACAAAATCGATTAATTTTTTCTTTTCTTTTTTCTTTTTGCTCCCCATTTTCGTTTTTCTTGTACCTGCCCTGAGCCCCCCCCCCCCGCCTCCCCCGTAAAATAAATGTAAAAAGGTTTCGGAAATGATATCGATCCCTTTCCGCGAATTTTTAAATTGCGTTCGCAACGTTCAAAATGTGAATAAAAGGTCAGAGGTAAAAAAAATAAAAGGTCAAAGTTTTTTTTTTCGATTCGGTTTGTAGGCGAATGACGACGTGTAAGAAGACAAAAATAATAATAATAATTTATTTACACGAAATTTTATTTTTAAAAAAAAATGAAATTAATTGATTTTGCATGCGCGAATCGATGGCAAAAAAAAAAAAAAAATTTTTTTTTGTTTTGGGGTTGTGTGTTCCAGGATTCCTTTTTCATATTCTTCTGACACTTCATCATTAACCTTTTCCAGAACTGACACTGGTGTAAGGTGAGATTCGTTTTCTTAATAATAGATAATAATATTAATAATAACAACAAGGCACGCATATTTGTAACATTGCATTTTTTGTATGCGAAGCATGCTAATAGTTTTTCTTTTTTCCCCCTCATTTTTCCGTTCGAAACGTGGAAAATTTTTTTTTTTTTTTTTGTTTTGTTTTTCCAGGAGAGTTAGAACGTTGTTTGCTTGTTTGGGAGAAAACGAGGGAGAATTATCGTTCGATCCGAATCAGATAATAACAAACGGTGAGAGAATTTCAATGAAAAAATTATTGTTAATCCCGCCCCCTCCCTCCCTCCCCATTTCTCTCCCTCTCTCTCTCCCGCCATTTCCTCCCTCCATTACCTCCCTCCATTCCCTTCCTCCCCTCTTATCTATCGAAGATTTCCTAACGACGGTTTTTTTTTTTCCTTTTTTACTTTCAGTTCGACCATCTCAAGAACCCGGTTGGTTGGAAGGAACGCTCAACGGTAAAACCGGACTCATACCTGAAAACTACGTTGAAATCCTTCCTTGACATTACAAACACACTCGCAGAAGGTTTTCCTCCGAAAGTTTTCAAAGGTTGATTAAAAAACTATGAAAAATTTATTGTAAATATTAAGAAAAGAAAAGAAAAAATTTTTTATTTTTTTATCGTTTATTACGGCACGGTGAAAAGGCAAAGCGAGAGAGAGAGAGGGAGGGAGAAGAAAAAGGCGGGAAAATGAAAAAGCGGAAAAAGTGTGTGCGAGCGTTCGAAAACGATTTCCGGTTTATTCTTCTTCTTGTTTTTCACTACACACGAACCACCCACGCGATTTTTTTTTTTTTTTCTACTTTTTTTTATTCTAAATGTTCCGTTCGTTTAACGTATTTTTAATATACGTTCGAGTTGG